GACCAACTCGCCTTTCTTGTCTTATGACTTCCCTCTCCTTCTTTTTAGTCTGGTCTGTCCATTTTTACCTTTTGTTTTCATCTTTCTTTTTTTTTATTGCTCTTGTTCTCTCACGCCACGTGGCTTTTTCTATCCTCATCTGTCACTCTGTCAACATCTGTCTGCTTCATGAGTGGGTATAGAGGGAGTGAGGGATGGATAAAAATAGAAAGAGAGAGAGAGAGAGAGAGAGAGAGAGACATACAGACAGAGAGAGACCTTTGTGTATCCTTGTCTTACCTGTAGAACCAGTCCTGACTAAGCAGAACACAAGTTGAGAATAAAAGAATAAAAGGGGGAGGAATCAGTAGAAAGGGATTAGCAATACAAAGCCATGGGATAGACTCTCTCTGTATCTCTCTGTCAATCACACATGTACTGTACACATTCACATATATATTTATTCGCACAAAGTATTTTGTTTTGTCTGTATGGATGACATGTGCCTCATCTACCTAATCTGTAACATACATCAGTACATTCCCAACGGTCTCTATAACCAGACAGGCCATATCATACTGCATTGTTGGTGATTTCCATAATGACACACTGACATTCCAACAGATCCTCTCTCTCTCTCTCTCTCTCTCTCTCTCTCTCTCTCTCTCTCTCTCTCTCTCTCTCTCTCTCTCTCTCTCTCTCTCTCTCTCTCTCTCTCTCTCTCTCTCTCTCTCTCTCTCTCTCTCTCTGCTGTGCTATTGACAAGCCACTGCGACAGCCGCATGTGACATCCCATCATCATGTCATGTTCAGCATTTCGAGTGCAGGTGATGATTAGAACAAGCAGGTACTGAGATAAAAATGATCCCTAACATCATTAACACAAATGGGTTTGATATAATGTGAAGTACAGAAAGGCCCTGCTCCCTCTGAACTGTAGCAGGAGAAAACCCCACATTGCTGTAAATCCTCCCTACTTTAGTACTGATAGTATCAGTAGCATTGCATTTGCGTTTTCAATTGTTATTTGACTCTCCTTACAGTTGCAAGCTTTCGCAAGGAAAGCACATCACATTACCTCATACTCTCACATGGACATGTTGTTTAAATGTATGTGTCTACATGTGTGTGCATGCTTTGTGTGTTTTTCTTGTGCATGCCTTCCCAGCTCTATTTGCACAGAAAAACTGTGCTATTTAGATAAAATCACACAGAATTGCAACCACAGGGTCAAAATGTGTTATTCTTCTCTGAGTACGACACGCAGATGTAATGAACTGTAACATGATATCATTCTTTTAAAAGAACTAAAACATTAGAACCTCATTAACTTGGAGAGAGAGACTGTGGAGGGATTAAATGTGGTCACAGAGGTCCAGAGACTAAACCACTACACGGTTTCTAAACTTAAAGTCATGTCGGCTACATGGGAACTGTGTTATTATCAGTTATTTTACAATTCTAAAAGACATCATGTATCCACTCATTGGGCAGCAGGGCGGCTAAGCGGTCAAAGAGATTATTCCTCAACTGAAGGACTCATGTACATGTAGTTACTAGTGTTTATCTAAACCTGCTTGACAGGTTACTAATAAAGCAAAATCAAATATCACGACAAACGAACCGCAGTAGACTTAACCTTGAAGATGAGTGCTGTACGCTGATGATAAATAAGGACCTCAAACTTCCGTTATAGATTTATAAAAATAGACAGAAATATTCATTACAGCATGGAAGCTTTTCATCATGCCTTTTCTTTTCTGGTGTTGAGTCAACAACTGACCCTCTGACCCCTGTTTGCATGCTTTGCAGTACATACTGAGTAACATGTAAAACAGTCAGTAGAGGCGTGAGGTGGGAGCTAAACAGGGAAATGTCTCTAATAAAGTGGGTGTGCAGACAGACAGTCAGGGTTCAAAGTAATGAAGAATGAATAAACAATGAAGAAGTGGTTTTAAGATGCCTTGGCTCTCAGCAAACTATAAATGACCTCCTAAGTATAAAATCAACAAGAAAAGCATGTTGCAACCCCCTGTCATTCATTTACATCTATTTATGTTAAATTTACCAACAACTGGAAACTGATAGTGACATCACTGGGTTACTCTACAAGTGTGTATGTGTGTGTGGTTTTCCTGCAGAAACAAAAAGCTCTGTGTAGGTAAATGTTGGACCAGTGTGTGTTTTGCTATTTATAACCCATGGGAGGCAGGGAACGAGAGAGACACCGGTGTTCCCGACTGTGTGTGTGTGTGTGTGTGTGTGTGTGTGTGTGTGTGTGTGTGTGCGCATGTGTGTACACGGTGTACTGTAGCAGCCTTTGTTTCCTTGTATAAGCATGTTCTCCTCTTCTTTTCCTCAGAATAATAGCCTTGTTATTCCTTGGTGTCGTTACAGAGTGTGTGTGTGTGTGTGTGTGTGTGTGTGTGTGTGTGTGTGTGTGTGTGTGTGTGTGTGTGTGTGTGTGTGTGTGTGTGTGTGTGTGTGTGTGTGTGTGTGTGTGTGTGTGTGTGTGTGTGTGTGTGTGTGTGTCAAGGGATTTCTGTTATTCCAGCCATGGTCGGCATTCAGACTCTCTGCATTTGTACCTCCTAATATGGAGGAGGAGTACTGCCAGTGCACACACAAACACAGACACTGCTATATCACAATAATCCAAACTGTGATGCTAATGAGACCACAGTAACTCAAGCTCACTGTTGGTGTGTGTGTGTGTCTGCTTGTAAAAACAGCACCAGAAGGATATCCATCTTTTCTATTTGTTTTTATTCTGTTTCCCTTCACCAATATCCAGTGCTGCTGTTTGCATCAGGCCAAGCTTCTCTACGAGTGACATTTACTTCACACACTGCAGCCTGACATCTGAGCAACAGGCGCAGCAACACGGAGATGATGTCACACCAAGTTATTTCAAGACTTGGTGTGTGTGTGTGTGTGTGTGTGTGTGTGTGTGTGTGTGTGTGTGTGTGTGTGTGTGTGTGTGTGTGTGTGTGTGTGTGTGTGTGTGTGTGTGTGTGTGTGTGTGTGTGTGTGTTCAAAGTTTTGGTTTAAGCGTCAAGGCAGGTTTGTGCAATAGGTGTTTGCTTCAGCCTGTCTTGTGTGTGCAGCTGTGTATGAGTGTGCTCTAAGTGACTGTGTATTTGTTCTGAATATTTTTTTGTTTTTTTATGAAGGTTTGTGTGTGGGGGTTTATTTAAATGAATTGAATAATAATATTGAATAAATGTACATACAGTACATCTTCAGGTGAGTGTGTGTCGCTTCATCCACATGCGTGTTCATGTTAGTTAGTGGTAGGATACACTGTTACAGCTGTGTTTCTCTGTTAGTGTGTGAGTCAGTGTGCATTTTTCTGTGCATATGCAAGTGCATCTATGAGTGAATGTGTGCGTGTCTCATAGACAGAAACCACCCCCAGCCTTTTCCCAAGCTGTTCCCTTCCCGGATCCTGTTTTTAGCGCCGGATGAGGCAATCTTTCCCATTGACTCAGCCATGCAATGCAAATAACCCCAACAGCATGCAAAGAGCATGGAAATTCATCTGTCTGTGTGTGTGTAGGTGTGTGAGTGTGAGTGTGTGTGTGTGTGTGTGTGTGTGTGTGTGTGTGTGTGTGTGTGTGTGTGTGTGTGAGTGACAGACACACACACAGATGGAGAAAGTGAGCGATAGTTTGAGTTTGTGTGTAACACACAAAGAAAACAAAAAGATGGAAGACTGGTTATTTTGCCACTGGGTACTAGTTTAGATATTGTTTTTTTGCATTTGTTATTTTTATCTACAATAAAACATTTTGTTTGCCTATTGATCAGCAGTTGATTGAATTGCAATCGGTCAACTTCACTGTCAGTTTTCAATAATTTGCACTGCAGCAAACCATCTCAGTTAGGATACAAAAACTCTAGTCACGCACGCTTGTCATCTGTAGGATAGACCACTTAATAAACTGCAATAGGCAATCGACATAGGTAAGTCGTGTGTCATACTGTATGGTCTGATCTAGTCGGGGCTTGAGATGTAATGCACACAACTTTTGTTTGCCTACATAAAAGTAGAAATAACAGAAATTACCAATAGCTGCATTTTGCTTTTTAGCATAGCACTGAAATTGATATGACTATTATATCTTACTTAGTAAAGAATGGTTAACTCAAACATTACTGTATGTCCTCTCATCATTCTGTCTAAGATCCCCAAAATGATACTGTGCTCTTGTGTCCATACTCTAAGAAAAATGATTATCTATAGTTGTACTGGTTAGTAAACTTTCTTCCCAACTACCGTTGCCATAAGACCTTTGAGTGTGTACCAATATCCAAGACTCATTGGGATATGCCAACCCTGAAAGCTAACTAAATAATTGTTGTGTAACATTTGTTAAAAGAAGGATGACATGCTCACATTTTACTGGTTAGTACAGTCAAAGATAGTAATTTATCTTAATAAATGAAATAAAAATAAAATAATAAAATTAGGTAAAATAAAATAACTTCCTATGAGAAATATCTAGGTTACAGTAGTTGTTTATAGCAAAAACAAAAGTGTTTATTTACCTCAACTGACTCTAAAGCTACAACTGAGGGTTATTATAATAGTGATTAAAAGAGTAAAATGCCTTGTCTTAAGTAAAGTTTACTGTGTCACAGTATCTTCAATTGGAACAGTCAACCATGTCAGACAGTTCACTTTAACTGACTGAACATTTCTGAATGGATCTACAGCTGCAACACAACAATATTTTTAGCTAGCTTTGTTTGTCAAGCCTGCTTATATATAATCAGTTCTCCCAGAATGGTACTAACTTTTTGCCATGAGTTTTGCAACTGCAAAGTATCTGTTATGCCTGTGAACCATAATACTGGTTTTCTCCAAACACTGGTTCATTTAGCTTCTGTTTACATGTGCTCATTGTTTCTCAGGTTGAGTTTCCCACAGAGTATTATGTAAATCAACTGTTCTTAGTGGGGATGAAGCAAATTGACGCCTCTCTCCTCTCCCTCCCCTCACCTCTTTCTTTTCCCAGATTCCTCTGTGGCAGTGCCAGTGTCGTGCGCTGCCTTGTTTCCCATGGACCTCAGGGTGGGAGAGCGGGGGATGCGCCCTGGTTCGGACACGGCGCTCCTCACCTCGCTGCATCCGCCTTTACTCCTCACCACGTTCTCCCCTCAGCCCCGCACCTCCTTCTCCCAACAACAACTGCACCAGCACATCCGGGTAAAGCATATAAAACATAGAGATAGTATAATCTTCTTTATTATAATATGAACTGATCTGAATAAAGAAGGCTAGCTTCTTATATTTTCTTACCGGTTGCTTTATACACGTTGCTGTAATATAAATGTGTGTTTGGTGGTGGTGTAGTTTAACATGGAGCAGAGGAGGCGAGAGCAGGAGCACCACGAGAAACACCAAGAGTTGCAGCAGCTAAAACACAAAGACAAGAGTCAACAGAGTGAGTCCATTCTCACACACACACACACACACACACACACACTCTCACATATTAAACTCTAACTACACTAACAGGTTATTACAAGTTTAATTTTACATTTGAAGTTGTATTTCTTTCAACTGAGCTTTATAAAAAAGCTATTTCAACATCTTACATAATAATGTGTTAATCGTGGCCAGAGAGGAAAGTCCCTACAAGAGATCTTATTCATCTTTATTGAACAGTGTGACTCCACTTTTAAAGCTGTTTGCTTTGAAATGAGCACTAAATATAACCCGACAAGTGGAGCTACAACAGTGGAGTTAAATATAGCTTTGGGTCTGTGTACATAAAGTCGCTGGGTCAATATTGACTTGATCACTCCTAGCACCTCCTGTCACCTCTGTGTGCACACATTTGCACACGCATGCACACACGCACACAGAGAGATAGCAGTGGACATACTCTCAGACAACCAGTGACCTGCATCACACACAAATTTGCCAGAACTCCCCACAGTATTGTTCTGTTTGCATTTGTCATATTTTATTTGGTTGGTTGTGCACTCTGTGCTTTTTTTTTTTTTTTTTTTTTACAATGAAGTAGTTGCTGAAGCCTTTTATGTATTTTGACAGGTGCAGTTGCCAGTTCCCTGGTAAAACAGAAACTCCAGGAGGTGATTCTTAAGAAGCAAAAACAGGCAGCACTGGAAAGAACAAACTCCAACAGTCTGACTGCACCTCCTGTAGCATACAGGTGACACAAAATGCACACATGTACACACACACAAAGCACAAAAGTAAACACTAAATATGCATCATGAACATATGAGTTATGCTGATTTCTTATCAACTCTAAAATCTGAATTTAAAATAAATTTCCACCATATGTGGTGTGACTGTTTACCCCAGTGGTTGTATGTCTATTTATGTTTGTGTGTTGTGGTTTCCCAGAAAGCTGGGCCCAGACCCCAGTTTATCCTCCCAGCCTTTGGTCTCGTCTCCATCACAGCCTTCTTCTGAGGGGTCAGAGGGGACACCGCTGCGCAGAGCAGGTAAAACGTGACATACGCCATAACACGTCAACTTAAAACAAGCTATAAAACAAAACCGACATGGACCAATACTGATTTCCCTTCATATCCCTGGTACTTTTTTTTTGTTTAAACCTGCAGAAACCCTTGTATAATCACAGCCAGTCACATACTTTGTCCCTTTTTAACTTGTAGTATGGTCAGTTTGCAAGACTTAATTAACTGGAAATAGGTTGAATCACTGTTGTTTCACCATTTGCACATAATTACATTAAGTAACATTCCCCACGTTGCTTTAATTTGTCAGCGTCTGAGCCCAATCTGAAGGTGAAACACAAGCTGAAGAAACACCTGAACACCCGCAAGAGCCCGCTCACCCGCAAAGAGAGTGCCCCACCTACTGTCAAACACAGAGTACCTGATGCACTGGGTAACCACACACACACACACACACACACACACACAAATGAATAAGAGTGGTAATGCAGTATTTTTGTTTGATATGTGATGAAAATCACAACAATGTTTTTTTTTTTAATTCTTTTTCACTATGATCAAATTTGATTTCACTAATGTGATAAAATGTAATGTCACTGAAATATGATGAAGATGCATAATCGTATTCTAAACTCACACACTGCCTGTCTCACACCAGACTCGTCCCCCAGCAGCAGTAGCACTCCAGTCTCTGGCTGCAGTTCTCCTAATGACAGCCTGCCCAATGAGAACGGGCTACTGCCATCTGCAGGCGGCCTCTCGCATGAGGTTAAAACACACACACACACACACACACACACACACACACACACACACACACACACACACACACACACACACACACACACACACACACACATATATGTTTTTGAGTTCTTTCAGAATATTAATAAAGTAAAACCAACAAAATAAACTGGTTGACAAAACCAGATTGAATTAAACAAAATAACTAAACCATGTTTTTACACCATCAGTGATCATGATAAAGGCTTGATGATGGGAAAAAATGAAAGAGTAGAGATAAAACATTTCCTTTTTTGCCATTCAGAAGGGCTCTTTTGTCTTAGAGATGGAAAAACATGAGCATTTTAAACAAGTAAGAACGAGTTCCTGTTTCATGTACACGAGCTGAGCCGAGACGCTGAGTAATGACATGTTTAAAGCAATGACACAAGAGTATGGGAGCACTGAGTGTTTGTCAGCTGTTTATACATAATGCATTTAATCACAGAAAGTCACCCTCTGTCACACCTGCTGTGGATGTCTGACTCATGATTCCCCAGTGTCAAGACAGCTCAGGGCAAAACACTAGCTTAGGTTTAATTTAATTAAACACTGACTGACATTTGGTCACTGCAGCAGAACATGTTAAGAGAATATAGCAAAGACAAGTTGTGTGGCTGTACCAGAGAAGAGATTCATTATGGGATACATAACCAACACTTATTTTTAATGTTAAATGGGATTTATTTTAATGTCATGAACACAATTCAATTCAAATTTGAATATAAATGTATTCTTTTTGAGTAGCAATTATGTTTGACTTTTGCAGGCTCAGAGGCTGCTGCTCAGAGATGGCACTCTCGCTAATTTCACCATCCAGAGTCCCTCCACTCTGCCCACTATCACACTGGGACTACCAGCCAACGCCAGGGTAAACACTGAACTGCAGCAGATGTCTGTCATAACAACTCAATTCTTCTTGAATCATGTCTTTTCTCTAAAACAAGTGAGAAAAGTGCTCTTTCAAAAATGTTACCTAGTCAAATGAAGTTGATCACTATATTAGCGAAAATATCATTAAAGACACATTTTAATTTATAATACAAGAACTCTTGTTATGTTTATAGATAATCATGTTAGATAGACAAGTTTTATAGACTCAGTACCAGACAAAATGTCTTAAGGAGATGTGTTTTAAGATGCAGTGTAAAACTTAACTTACAAAACTCACATAACATAACATCCCATGACTTGGAAATCTCAATGAACTGAAACAATGAATGAAATTCTGGTTAAATCAGGAAGTAAATAGAATAAAGGAAGCATGGTACCTTTAAAGTGCTGTTTAACTACGACATTGACACATGTGAGTTCTGTGTATTGAAATTTAAATGGCATAAGAGTTTTTCTTATCATGTCACCTTGACTAAACCGATCATCTCCTGTCAACATACAGAGATATATTCATCTTATTCTTTGTTGTAAATTCAGCTGTGATAGTGTCAGATATCATGTTATATGTGGCTATAAAGCCGTTTGACTCTCTGTGCGCAGGCTGAGGGAGACCTGTCGTCTCTGAAAGTCGGCCGGGTGCCAGTGGTTACAGCTGGGGGCTCGCAGGTCTTCCTCCCCCTGAGCAGAGAGGATCAGGCTGGTCAGCTGAACCCTCACCTGCCTGTCATCATCCTGGAGCCCTCTGGACTGGTACACACTCCGCTACTCAGTGGTGAGACACACACGCTGGCACATATAGTGTAGAAATGTATATGCATGTGCTCACGTATATGGCCAAAAGTTCAAAAATTTGGGATGAAACACTGAAAAATAATTATTAATTTTACTTTTACGTTCTGTAACTGATTTACTTACGGAGTATGATTGTATGGTAAAATGCAAAAGGTGCCAAATATTCACAACCAATATGTTTATAGCCACAAATGTACACATACATATTACATTAGATATACATTAATCAACTTAAAGCAAGCAGCGCTTTCACTAGGGTCTTTTGATTTTATTGTCTGAAATGTTAGAGCACCACCCAGTGGTTACATTTAGAATAATAATTTTTTCTTTGACGGATCAGCAGGTAAACTGCTTTCACTTTGTTATCTTCTGACTCCTTTAATCCGGATCCACCTGTGCTCTCAGTTCTACTTCAGCAACTCATAAAAAAATAATTATACAATGGGATAAAAATTATTCAATCAATTTACAATACAGCAGGAAGAAAGTTGACATTGTCATAGCTATGTGTTTATTTCTGTTTGAGGAACTGCGTGTGAATACATTCAGCAAATTATTTGTCTTCTCCTTTGTCCCCAGTTCCAGGCCTAGATGCTGTCCCGCTCCAGTTTGCCCCCCAGTTAGAACACCTGGCTCCTGGAGGCACCCAGACCCACAAGCCTCTGAGCAGAACACGCTCAGAGCCCCTCCCGCAGAGCCCACGGACCCTTCACGCACATCTCCTCCAACAACAGCACAATACACAACTACTAGAGAGGCTCAAACAGCAAACCCACCTGGGCAAGGTATGAATGCACTCACCTGTATTCAGAAACATGAATCCCTAAATAGTTTTTCACAGCTAATACACATTCCACACAGAAACATACAGATATAACAAATACATGCAACATACACTTCATCTACATCTATACATTCATGCCCCTGCTTGTATCACCGCTGACACTTATGCTCTCACACAGATATGTTCAGATCAAGAGTGTCAAGTTGACAGATAACATGGAGTGTTTGCTAGGATATGGATAGAAGTGTGGTGTTGATTGAGTTTGTTGTCTATAATAAGTGTAGATATTTGAAGTTGTTGCTGTTGGGTTCAGTCCAGTGTGGGTTTGTGCACTTCTTTGGTTTTGTCCATGTTCACCTGGAGGTAGCTGTCAGCGCACCATTGTGTGAAGCATTGCTTGGCTGCAACAGAGTAATTTTCATTCAGCAGACCAAGTATGGCAGTGTCATCGAAGTATTTGAAGTATGTGGTGATGGCTGAAGGACCGGTACAGTCATTTGTGTAGGGGGTTTTTCCTTTAAGATAACAATTACAATATCTGAACTTTGTGTATTGGCTGATACCGAGTACCGATCCAATACATATATGTGCATTAAAAACTGAATAATATTAGTTTTTTTGTGTATATTACTAAGCCTGTGTGATTGCAACCATTGTTGTATGGCCTGACTCAGCATAAACCCTTTGTCAAAGTAGTAGGGTGGGTCATGACTTTGCTATCCTGGGGGAAAAAAATTGCTGTCTTGTGATACGTTTGCATGAGGTCAGACTTAAAGCTGAAAGAACTTGTTCAAGTTAGCCTCCTGAGAAATTGCAAACTGTGGAAGCATATTGACACAGGAGACAAATGGTAGCAAATTAATTGACGTTGACTGCCTTTGCTCATATTTTATTCACATTTTTGTGGAGCTCCATCTTCAGAAGGAGAACCACAGCAATGTCAAGACTGCAAATGTAGATGTCGACATTACAGTTTAAATATTTAACCCTTGTAAAAATTTAGTACTGATATGTCTTCATCCAACAAAAAACTCCACAAGCTGTTGATGTTTGTGGTCCCGAATTGGTTGATGTTGGAGGCATTTTTTCCCCACTTGTATTTACACTCATATTCCCCTCTCCTGTTAAATCAATTTTAGCATGGTTAGATGAGGTTTATCTTGTGGTAACTGAGAAAGGAATTTTTATTTTTTAAAGGTTTTATGGCAGTGGACTGTTCACAGTTGATGGAAAACACCAGTAGACTACATCAGCACTACAGCAGCATTATAGTGAATTATTCTGTTTGTTTGCATTTTTGAGTCTGCTGTCTCACTCCATCGTGTCTTTATGCAAAGTGCAAACACACATGCATGTGTATTTTTGTCAACTTAAATGTGTGTATGTGCATGTGCAGCTGATGTCCAAGTCCAGTGAGAAGCCCAGACTGCATCAGATCCCCTCTGAGGATATGGACTCCGAGGATGGTGGCGGGACGTCCCCTACAGAGCCAACCTATCAGAGCAGAGCAAGGGCGGAGTCGCTGAGGGAGGCAGAGCCAACAGCATCCAAGAGCCAGGAAGACCAAATGAACTTGCAACATGCACTCATACTCAACCAGGTTGGAAAATATAGCATACTTTCACATATGAGATATACACACACAGAAAGCAGGTAGATGGTAGTAAAACCACTGACCTGCTCTTCATCCAAAAGTCCTGTAGATGGCATCCTAACACTTGTACTTGCTTGGTTCTAGTTACTGTTTCATGGTTTTGTGGTTTGACAACTATTCATTACATCAAAGTGGTTATTTCAGCATATGAGGATAGGGTGCATGTACTGTAAGCTGAGCTATTACTCTTTCAGAATCAGTTGCTGATCAAACAAACCACATAGTGAGAAGTCAGGCTTTGTTGGAATGTATGACGAGGAAGACTTCACAACAAACAGAAATTCAGATTAATTTATATATGGAAGAAACAAAGCATCAGTGATGTTTTCAGTGTTAGCTATAGGGAGGGGAATTGAATGGTTTTATTAACCTGACTTTTAAGGTACTGAGCATGATCAAAAATTACTTGCAGATTTAAAGCAGTGTACTTGATATTGACGGACCCAGGCTTTAAGGTGCAGGTCAGAGCAGCCACATGAAACAAGGAGAAGGTTCCGTGATTTCCAGCATGAATACAAATCACTTAGTGAGTTTTAGTTGGATGAACAGCTGCATACCATATGCCTAACAATACAACTGAAATTTATGAGCACTGATATTCTCCATGGATTTGAATAAGACCCTGTGCTTTCTACAGTTTTTTTATGTTTATGATATTTACTTTGAATTTTATCTAAGAATATGTTTCATCTTTATCAACCCCACTCTTCCTCTAGTCGTTGCTATGGGAACAACAGAAGCAGCTGCAGCAGCTGCATCGACAGATGGAGACCCTGGCAGTGCCCATGTTACGTAGCAGCGGCGGGGTTGCTAGTGGGCTGGGTGTCCATCGCCCCCTGTCACGTACACAGTCCTCCCCAGCCTCCACCTCCCTCACTCTACCTGAGAAACCCCTGAGCCTGGCCGCACAGGACGCCAGCAGCAAACCACGCTTTACCACTGGTGAGTCACACATGCATATACAATATTATAATAGGGATGTATAATCATTTTCTAAATAATACTTGAAATACAGGGTGCCCCCATGGAGACGCCTACCATAGAACCGCAACATTCCTGGTTTTAATGCAGCTGTGGACCTTTATTGTGTGCCGTTCCCATCTCTCTCCCTAATTTTGATCATGTCTCCGGTATGGCTGTCTAATAAAGGAATAAAAAGCCTCCAATGGTACTAATAAAACATAATGATACTTTATATAATTCCAAGCCACTGTTCCAAGTAAAGGAAACTCAAAAATGAATGGCTGTCTCCAGGAGGTCTCACTCATGAACAAACTAAAATAAAGACGAAATGTGAATAAATTTGGATAATTAAAACGTCAATTAAAACTTAACTGACACTTTAAAGTATAAAACAGTGCGGCTTTAAAAGTGTTTTAAAGAAACGACTTTAAAGATTTGTCAGCTGGTTGCTAGGCCTACTTTGACTCTGAAGTCTGTAGGTGTTAGTTCACATGTTTTAACTAGTGGTGGAGTGTTTATGAGTGCATGTGCTGTCTGACCTGTGCTCCTCATGTGGGAAAGAAGAAGTGTTTGATATTCCCTGTCCATGTCTTCCTGAGAAACCAGATGAGCCATTCTGGCAGTCACTAATCAACTAATTCTAATATGAAAACAAGCTTAATATAACATTTAACCTTAATGTTAATTGTTGTGGAAAGTAATAAAAATTTATAAGTGGCAAAAAAATCTGAGAAAATAAAGTGAAGCTGGGGCTTACCTGGTAGAGCTGGTACCAAGGCTGCCTCTTTGCTGCAGCGGCCATGGGTTTGAATCTGGCCTGTGGCCCTTTGCTGCGTGTCATCCCACTCTCTTTCCGCTCAATCTTTAGCTGTCCTATCCAATAAAGGCGAATATATCTTTAAAAAAATAAAAAAAATGAAGTGAAGTGAAGCTTCTGTCAGATGCCACAAATATGTCTTATTGTAAATACATAAAACAGAAATCTGCCGTCTGATGCAACTGGAGTACATATTGAGAAAAAGGGGTCAGCGGCTTTTGGCTCCTAGTGTGAATATACTTGTGCAAAATATTGAGATTCATTCTGTTTCACCTAATTTTTTGTGTATTTTTGTGTATTTGTGTGCAGGCCTGGTGTATGATTCTCAGATGCTCAAGCACCAGTGTACATGTGGAGACAACAGCAGTCACCCAGAGCATGCTGGGAGGATACAGAGCATCTGGTCCCGACTACAGGAGAGAGGCCTGAGGGGACAGTGTGAGGTACGACATGAGATGATTGCACACACACACAATCACACACACATACATTTATTAGCCTAGTCTGGTATTAGTTATGTTGTTGAGGAGGTGCTAAGTTGCCTAAACACTGATATTGTCTTATTAAAAAAACATTCTATTTGAATTACTTTTCATGCTGAACAAACCTACAAGTACCTGATATGATTTGTCTTTCTGGAAATAGAAAGGTTGGGTTTTTGTGTTGGAGCAGAATGTTTCTCTCTGTTTGACATTTTTGTTCATTACATATTCTACATTATACATGTGCATATGATTCCCTATGTAAGGTCATGTTCTTGGTCCTTGGGGCTACAAAATGAATGCGTTTTGTCTCTTTCTGTAGTATCAAAGTATTAGAGATGAGAAAGTCGAATGAAAATGTTCTGTTCATACAGAGTATTCGTGGTCGTAAAGCCACTCTGGAGGAGCTGCAGTCAGTCCATACAGAGCGCCATGTGTTGCTCTACGGCACCAACCCGCTCAACAGACTCAAGCTGGATAACCGCAAACTGGCCGGTATGTTACACCTCAGATCAATTTGTACATTTGTGTTGTTTTTCCTTTAGTTACTTCTTTCTAGTGATTTAATAGTGAACATTAAAGACTTTGTAGAGTAAATGTGATCAGGTACATCAATACCAAACAGTTTTACAGATGTGCGATCCTTTCTGTTACAATAACTGAAGCTATGTCATAAATATAAATACATTTTTGTCATTGAACTATGTTAATTGAGTTCAAATGAATATACAAACATGTGATAGTGCTACATGGCATCATGAGACATAGTTATGCCGTGAATATTATGACAGGTCAGGTCAGCATATGGCTTTTCTTTTCATTAGCTAGCATAAAATGATTCTGTTGAAAAGAATAGTTAACTGAAATGTAATTGAAGGAATATATAATTATGCATTCATTTTTATGTTTCTGTTTCCTCAGGAATACTCTCTCAGAGGATGTTTGTGATGTTACCATGTGGGGGTGTAGGGGTAAGAGACGACCCACACACACAACTCTATTTTTGCTCTTAATGAAAGCAGTACAAAATGACACAATCACTGCGTTGATGACAGACAATATCGTTTCAAAGAAAAGCTACAAAGTCAAGCAAGAGAAAATTACAAGAAAGACAGGATATTAAAGAGGAAAAGAGAGTTGGCTTGGCCCGATGCTAACGTTTGCCTGACAGTCCGTGTCGGACCATGACAAGTCAGACTAATGAGAACAACATGTCCATGACCAGGGATAAAAGAAATGCCTCGGATTTCATTGTCCAAGCCAGATGGACAGTAATGCCAGTTTGTGAACAAACAGAGGGGAGAAAAAACAGAATGGAAAGGAAAATTACCAGCAATATGGATGGATTTGGCCTCGAAATGGGAGAGTAAAACTGCCACTTTTACTCTCAAGTCACAGCTGAAAGTTCGGTCACCCATGCCCTAGAGAAGGTCTTCTGTTTCCTTTTATTGCCCCAAAAGGATTTTAGAAGTAGTCAGCCTTCATACAACAGATGTTCTAAATATTTCCACACTATTTGCTATTTGCCATTTGTTTGTGCTGTCATTCAGTGGCCTCCATCATTTGTCTGTAGGTTGATAATGACACCACCTGGAATGAGTCGCACACCTCTACGGCATCACGCATGGCAGCAGGCAGCGTTGTGGAGCTGTCCTTCAGAGTGGCCAAAGGAGAACTAAAGGTGAGAATCTAAAACTAAGATGGGATAGAGCCACACGTCATTCTGTCATCTCCACATTAGACATCTTACTAGTTGGAATAATTGTTAAGGATACGTTTTGTTGCCTCATTCCCAACTTTTCATCCGTCTTACATATGGCTCTACAGACGATTATGACAAAACAATATGCAAGCAATAATACAGTAACAACGTTATGGAGGCAGGGGATGCCACATTGCAATAAAAACAGTTATACTATAGTATTGTGTATGGCTATTTATTTATTCAGTAGTGGGAACAAGTAGACAGACACACACACACACACACACACACACACACACACACACACACACCGAACATGTGTTGGTTCACAATGTCAGATGGTGAAAAACAACAACGTTTGTTAGGCTGAGACATAAACATGACAGTTTTAACGTTATACCCATGCACACAGACAGAGTCACTGCTTTTCAGGCACTGGGTCATGGGACAAAAACTGTTGTGAATTAATTCTGGAGTCTTTGTTTTGTTCCTGTACATCAACTGCAAGGGTCGGAAAGACACACCAACTTAGAAATGCATCCGGCGAAGAAGTGTGCCTCACCCGGCCTTAAGGAGCTACTAACCCACTTCAAAGATGAATAGGATTTCAGAAAAGAGTTTTCCCGTCACATCATGGCCCAAATGTTCTTCCTTTCCCTCTCACAGTGATTAAAAGTCTGGAATAAACATGAAATTCTCTTTTTTTACTTCTAAATGCTCAAATGTAAAAATACAATTGGCAAAAAGTATTTATAGCTGGCAGCTTCAAACCAGACCATTTTAGCCCAAAACAAAATAAAACAAAAGCAAGCAGGCAGAATGAAAAACAGTAAACAGCACCCTAAGGCTCAGTTTGTACTGAGCAGCGATAGTATACTACCACTACACTAACCACAATACAACCACTCCACTTCTGTTTGTGAGCTATACATATCATAGGGAATGTATACTATATATACTAATGTACAAGGCAACATAATACTTATCTTGAATTGCCTCCATTGTCTTTACATTGCCAGAACTCACGCATTTCATCTTGTGTATTCATGAAATGTTTAACTTTATGCTTTGAGTTTTACTGGGATAATAAAGATTGAAGGCTTCATATTGTATGTGAACCCAGTATGAATTAGTATGTGATCATAATGGAAACCTACTGTAAACAAACTTTATATAAACCAGGATACATTACTTGTCTGCTGTTGATCTTTGCATTAGAGATCTCAGTTATTTCCTGAATGACGAGGTTTTGGATTGTGCCTTTTAAGGAAGATGTTTCTTCATTTATGTTTATACTTTTGTACATTATAAAAGCCTATAAAAGATTGTAGTCTCTTCACAGTACACTTGAAGTTCTTCATATCCATTGAAACACTGATTAATAACATCTTATTTTTCTACACAGAACGGCTTTGCTGTGGTCAGACCGCCAGGGCATCACGCAGACCCCTCCAATCCCATGTAAGTGTGTGAGTGTGTGAGAAACTCACATGCTCAGCCTGACCACAATGAGTTTTCCTGTTCTACTGCACTGTCAGCAGCTTCTCTGAGAAGGATATTTATGAACAGGACAAAATAAAGAAGATTAATACTTTTTTTGTGTTCATGTTGGTTTTCTTCTTTTACTGATGCTTGGACTACTCATTTATCCTGAGCACAATCCTCTACAGCTACTGTTCTGTTAACCATTTTACTTTGTCTCTAAACCTCCTCTCTATGTGTCTATTAGGGGTTTCTGTTACTTCAATTCTGTGGCCATAGCCGCCAAACAGCTCCAACACAAGCTCAGTGTCAGCAAGATCCTCATTGTCGACTGGGTAAGACAGCTTATTAATTTTGGCCTTATACGTACTTTCACTATTGTTTATATTGATGAAAAGCCCCTGTCATTATCCCATAGCGTATGTAGTGCTAGAGCATGCCTGTGACACTCAAAATTGAATTTATCTCTCTGTGTTATTGCCATGTATAATATTGATATGTCTTCCCTCATTCTGTTGCTAGGATGTTCACCATGGCAACGGCACCCAGGATGTGTTCTACAGTGACCCCAGTGTTCTCTACATCTCGCTCCATCGCTATGACGATGGAAACTTCTTCCCTGGCAGTGGGTCGCCAGTTGAGGTGGGTGACGTCCTGGACATTGTCCCTGACATGTAACAAATAAACAGCACGTTTTTGACTGACTGGTGCCATTGCATGAATGAAATGCAACGTGTTCTTTTGGGTTTAGGTTGGTTCTGGAGCGGGTGAGGGCTTTAATGTGAACGTGGCGTGGACAGGAGGACTAGACCCACCCATGGGAGATGCTGAGTACCTTGCTGCATTCAGGTACAACCAACTACTGCTCTGTTTAAACACTGCAAGCTTAAACGAGAGATAAGGAGAGATGTAGACGGGTGGCAAATTCAGCATTTATGCTGTCTCTTGCTGCTCCCATGTTTTTGTGAATTGTAGAGAAACTTTGTACCAACTGTTCTCAGATTCAGACAGACACAAGAAAAATAAACAACTTTTTAAACTTCCTTTGGGAGATCTCATCTAAGTTTGTGGAGTTGGTGCAGGACAGTGATGGAAACATGGATATCTTCTGGGTTGTGTCTGTTAAGCCACAAAAAAGAATGACATAAATAAATATATGTATATAAATATTACAGTAAGCGTAGAGAAAGTGAGCAAAAATAATTGCTGTTTCATCATGCTCTGAACATTAGCCCAGTACATATTGAAAGCAGATAGTTTGTCTGTAATTCGTGTCTTGGATGTGAAATCTAGTAAATTAGGCAGCAGACAAAAAAGTTAGTTCACTGTCCCAATAGTTTTGCCACCGCCTGTTTTCCAGTTTTCATTGATCAGGATATTCAGTAGAGCTGTAATCAGACCATTTCTGTCATTTCCTTTAAACTGAGCCACAACAAACACACTTAGGCTGATTCTCTGATCAGCTTAACTTTGCCTCTGACGTACTTCTTGCGCAATTAATAATCCTTGTCATTTGGGCAACATGTGTCTGGCGTGCCCTGTTTCCAATAACTTCAAATGCTTTACAGTAAATGGTCTCCAGGTCTTGTGTTTGACAGATTGGGGACTGTTACTTCCTGCTTGTGGGTTGGATAATTGTGATAGGTGGGTGTTTGGCACCAATAAAGTTTCAATAGTGTGGGCTTTTTGGTTGTCTGGTGCATCCAACCCCAAGGAAACTGTGACAACCGCACGCTTACTGGAAAAGGGGCACAGTGGCAAAGTCGCAGACATGAGAGGGGGGATGCATGCATATGTTTATATGAAGCACACACGCATACACCCATAAAGTGGGTGAGCCTTGATCCTAAGACCACCTTCAGCAATGATCTGCCTCAGTGCATTTAGTTCCTCTCATTACTATGTACATCCAGTTATACACACAAGCCCTTAAAGTCAATATGAGACTTATTCAAACTATAATACTGCTCATTTGAGGAGGTTTGGATATCAAAAAGCAGAGAACCCGATGCTTAAGGAGGCTTTCCTGACTTCTGAAGTGTTTCTGACCAAAACACTTATTCTCTGCCTGCTCCAGGACTGCTTCTTTGTAGCATGACCCTCGACTCTAAACTTTCTGTGGAGCAGAGCAACAGAAGACATATTTTCCTATGAGAATAAGTCAACGGGGGGGGGTTAGGGTAAGCCCAAATGCCCCTATGTACTGTATGTATATTGTCCTTTTGATAGTGTCTGTGCCTATTGGATGGATAAAACAACCATTTACTGGATTATTGTGATAACATTTGTTTGCAGATCCAGCTGCTCACAATTAAGACTCAGATTTGTCCCTCCCTGTTTGTCCCTTAAAATCAGAACTGGACAGAAAAAGCTGCGTTCTCTAAGTAGAGTACTCAAGCAGTGAGCTTTGTACCTTCCAGAGCTTCATATCATGATATAATACAGAACATTTTTTAATGTATTTAATGACAAAATTGAGTTGAACCAGTCTCCACAGTCCAGTGAAAGTAGAGAGGGACAGGCCTCTTCGAGTTCAATGGGAACCACTAAACTGATTCAAAGTATCATTTTTATTACATAATGCCAATCGTATGGCCCAGTATTCAGATCTGGACCTAATAGAAGTTCTAAGTAATTCTCTGTTTGTTTCAATCTGCCTGGAGCCCCAGATGGTGAGAGTTCACCACATCAAAACTTTTCAGATCATTGTCTGCTCAGTTATAGAAAATAATAGCAATTTTAAGATGTGATGTGAGTTGGGGTCACAGATCTGCATGTTTATAGAAAGTAAACATTTTCAAAATCAAGTTGTGCCTTTTACAAAGGTGACAGAGAAAGAACTAGTCATAGGTAATGCTTCTTTTAGCTAGTACAGAGTGAGACGTATGACAGGAAATGTGGGTAGAGAGAGTGGGAATGACGTGCACCAAAGGTGGTCAGTTTCTTGACCACAAGGATGCCAGTACAGGGTAATTGTATAGTCCAATGTCGAATACAATGTTTAAATGAGCCTCACAGGCCCAAAACATCAATGGTCATCAACCCAGTCCAAACGCTAAGAAGACATGGAGAAAAAAGTCACGGTATAAATAAACTTGACATTCACTGAGTGAAAATAAACACATCTTTCTTTAAAATCGAGTCTTTTTAATACATGTTGTTGTCCAGAATAGAGCTTGCAATTAATTAATGTTAAAAAAGGTGCAGAATAAGTAAATAACTGCATTTACTGGAATTAGCTGGTAATATTTTGAGCTACTTAAAAAGGAAATGTGTTACAATTACTAATAATTATTATGATTAGCCTGGAGGTCCACATAATCTTGTTTTAGGCTCTAATGGGGAGGCACTTTGTCTTAACAATGCATTTTTCCTTTCATGGAGTCAAAATCCAAAAGGCCCCTCCACCTCCCACCCACTACTTAAAAACCATGCATCCCCTTTGTAATTAATAAAGTTTGCAAATGTTGAATGGTCTGTGGAAAAAAAACAACGAAATGAAATGAAGTGTATAAGCCATTTAATGGAAAACATTTTATGGGTTAAAGTTTGTGAGTGCTTTAACTTCAGAGGGGAGCTTTGTTGCATTTGCACCTTATCCTTCACTCTCACCCCCCTTCTTTTCCATCACCCCGACCCTCACCACCACCATGCGCGCGCACACACGCACACACGCACACAGGCACACACGCACACGCACACACACGCACACACACACACACACACACACACACACATTCTCCCTCCTCCTCTCCTCTCTTGATTGATCTTTAATAAGCGGCACCTCCTCTCCTCCGCCCTCCCTCCATCTTTCCATTAGTTTGTCTGTAGTTACTCTCTCCGGGGGGATCGTGGCAGCTTTAATGGCTCTACAGGGGAGTTGGGGTTGGGTTTTGCGGTTAGGTGTGTGTGTATGTGTGGGGATGAGTGAAGAATGTGTGCATGCTCTGCATCACATCCATGTGACTATGATAAAGTTTTGTTTTATGGATTGGAATATTTGAATGAATCAAAATACAACTCCAACAGGATGTGTTTATGTCTGTATGCGTGTGGAAATTAATTTATGTGTTGTGTTTTTGCATTTATATGCTCATGCTGGAATGTGTTTTGTGTGTTTTATCTCTGTGTGTCCTCATTTCTGTCCATGAGCTCATGTTGTCCATCTGCATGTGTGTGTGTGTGTGTGTGTGTGGAGGGAGGGAGGGAGGTCTCCAAAGTCCCCAGGCAGAATAATGAAGGTAAATGGATCCCAGATGGACTGTTTTCCTCTTTTCTCTGTGTTGTCAATGACGTGAGGAGAGTGACAAGCCTCTAATGGGAAACAGACTCACACACTCTGGCTTTGAACTCCACCGACATCGTCAAGCCGTGGATTGAGCCTCTCTCTGCCTTGGGACAGTGCAGCTCTCCTCCTAACAACAATAGCATTAAGGAAATCTTCATCCGTTTGAAGTCCACAAACAACACAGAGAGGCTGTAAGAGCTGACCAAACAATATGACTTTGTCAAGCAGACCCGTCTTACTCGAGGCTGTGCAGCTTCTCCAACAGAGAAACAATAGTCCCTTTGTCAGCTCTGTTTGAGCTGTTGAGTCTGGGATCAGCCAAACCTTGGTTTCACTTGTCATGTTAATGACTTATTTAGATTTGATCATGTGTCATCTCCAGGAGACTGCCCAGTTTGGAAATGCCCAGTTTGATTTGAAACGGCTACATTGCACTGACTGTCTTCATGAGCAAACTGATTAAATAAGTTAAAGTCTATCTATCAGTAACTTGTTAACCTTTGAATCAACTGAGACGGGCTACGGCTGGTTGTGAAAATGAACCAGTACAGCAATGTTAACACTGTTACAGTGCTTTTTGACAGTTGCTGCAAGTTGACAAGCGTTGACTGTTTGTACACTTTTTATAGCTTCTAAACAGTTAGTGAGAAGAACTATGTGTTAAAACCCTCTGAGATTATCAAAATCAACACTATGCCAGTGATTGTACCCGTCTGCACAAACTCTAGAGTCTGGATTTCACAAGTTATCATTGAGACTTGTGTAGGAACTTGCTGTGACTAAATGACCGTACTCTTATTCAACTACTGCCTTTTATGTGACTCAGAAGAAAAAGTCCAGTTTCCTCTCCTTCTATTCTCTGGGTTGAACTATATAATTAAGACTTAAATGTGCACATAAAAACACACATGTAATTTGAATTGTTGTTTGGTTTGTTTTGTTTGTCTTTGCGGCCGTGTTTTTCTGACCTTTTTAATTTGTTATTATAAAACAATGAGTGCATGTTACAGCCAGGAGGTCACACAAACCTGCAGTAGAACAGACACTACATGGCAAAAACACAGCAGACTTTTCATTGGAATCAATGGGGAAAAGGAAACATCATACACACTACACTGACATTATCCTTTAAAGAGTGTTGTGTAATATATGACTTGTATCAACCTCTATTGGCAACCAGTAGGAACTGCAACCACACAGACAGCTCTTTCCAGTCCCTTGAAGTTACAGTGGTCCGTGTGATTGTGTCCCCGCAGGTCTGTGGTGATGCCCATCGCCCAGGAGTTCTCTCCGGACGTCGTTCTGGTGTCGGCTGGGTTTGATGCCGCTGAGGGCAACCCTGCTCCTCTGGGAGGGTACAAGGTTTCTGCCAAATGTAAGCACAGTTCTCCACCACAGACTGCACAGTCTTTACCTCAAGGTCTCGTTTTTAGCAAGGGGATGCCAGACTTTACCCCGTGGCCCTGTGGGTATTTAGAGATATTAATAGACTATTACAGCTCCTGTCCAGTATGGACAGAAGAGCAGGAGTTGTGCCTTTTTATCATACATCCCTGCATCACTAATGTAACCATAATTATAGTAATCAGTAGTTGGTACGTTGCTGTGGGAGGATCCACAAGGTAAAAATATACATTTGTTTTCATAGAATTTTGCAATTTATAGCAAAACTCATTTGGTAAGTCTTACAGTAAGTGGTTTCATGATTGCAGCTTACCTGCCAAGCTTTATTCTTACTGTTCATGCTACATGTTAACATTTCTGTGTATGTTTGTGTACCACAGGTTTCAGCTTCCTGACCCGCCAGCTGATGTCTCTAGCAGGAGGTCGTCTGGTTTTGGCCCTTGAGGGAGGTCACGACCTTACAGCTATCTGTGACGCATCTGAAGCCTGTGTCAGTGCACTACTGGGCATACAGGTAAGGCATGCTGGGTGCTGTTTAACCAGCAGATGAGGGAATCATCTATATTCAGTGCTGAAATGTTTTTCAGGGTTAGCGGAATTTGAATTTGGGTTTTGGAAGGTCAGGCACAACAGGCAGAGAGACAGACATTTTACAAGCCAATTTTTTTCTTTTTCTTGGAAAATACTAAGGATTTATCTCTGACACACTAATTATAGAACACATAGTATATTGTAATACTACTTACTGTAGAAAATGTGCATTTTACATGCACATTTGCATATGAATTCAGGAACTATGTCTCTTACTAACTATGTCACAAAATTAACAATTTATTAAGCATTTCTTGTTGTTTTGCTTCAGGTATAAAGTTGGTCCTGATAATAATATAATGCTTTATAACACTTTTTACTATATCTCCTCAGTCACTTCTTAACTAAGTCCTTAGCCATTGAAAATATGAATAAAGGTAATTTGACGGTCTTCATGGCTGCTACTCTGTCCTGTAGGACCCACTGGCAGAAGAGGTTCTACTCCAGAAGCCCAACGCTAACGCAGTCCGCTCCCTGCAGACTGTCATACAGATACAAAGTGAGCAGCACTAACACATTCAATTATTCATTTTTTTAATTTAATCCTGTATGTAATCCTACTGAAATCCGAACAGATCCACATCAGCATGGTGTTTGCACTGATGACAGTTAACAGTAACCTGTATATTGCAGGTCAGTACTGGCAGAGTGTGAAGGCTTACAGTGGATCAGTGGGTCTGTCCTACCTGGCTGCTCAGAGAAGAGACTGTGAGGAAACAGATGCTGTCAATGCTTTGGCCTCGCTCTCTGTGGGAGTGCTTTCCAACAAGAGGTAGAGCACACACACACACACACACACACACACACACACAGTCATAACAAAGTAAAAACAAAAATCACACTTTGACGTTGGCACTAACTCTCCCTGCTCTCCACTTACGTCTGGTTTTCACCCTCTCCTCCAGCCTCCCAGACGAGCCGATGGAGCATGACAGTGACTCTATGTAGAAGAATCCGACCAATCACCTCACAGAACTCACTTTAAGGATTCGGGCCGCACCTGTAGCCTTGGATCTCCCGCGCTGTCACATGACCATGAAGGGGACGTGTTTTGTAATGCCACTGAGCCCCACCCGTCTGCCTTATTCACACACATTCACATGCACCAACACACAATGCTGAACCTCTACAGAGCTGCCGTATGAGCACCTCAGTGCTGGTAACCACTCAGCAGCCAGCAGCACTACCTGCAACTGGGAAACCTTCTGAAACCTCACCAAAGAGCAATACCAGACAATTTTGAATAGACTTTTCACGTCTCCTGACTGACTTTGGATTTTGTGTGTGTGTGTGTTCAGAGGTCCAGTAGCACAGCTCTGTGACCACAAACCTTAGAAGAACAGACGGACTTCAGATGCAGAGTCCAGTTCTGATTCTTCTTGAAGCACTATGTACCAGCAGGCTGTTTTGTTGCCTTAACTTTGCCTTAACGTAAGGACCAACATCAGGTTTCAGAAGACTTTGGATTATATATTCCTTGCTCCTCTGCCACTTTGCTTCCCACATCACAGTCGAAGCAAATGCAGACCAAACGGGATGCAAAATGGCTGACTGTTGAAGGTTCATGGCCTACAACCTACAACATCAGGTGAAAGCATATATGCACATACCTGATGGATAAGATGCAAAAATATCAACAAGAGGTGGCCACATTACAAAGAGAGGAAAAAAAGACACAGAGATTGTCTGTTTTAATGATGTCATTATATGCAGTTTAACCACTAAAAGAAGACAACAAAGAACTTGAGGGAAAGAAAATGAAGACACAAAATGGACAACTGTGGTTTTGTAGAAACAAAGAAGGGGCAAATGTCCTTGTTGTTTTATTGCACTGTTCATTCCATAATGTGAACCATAAGAAATTCCAAAGCTCTGGGAAATAAAAGAAACAACTCCTCTGTAGGTTATTTAATAGTTTTTTGAAGATTTGGATGAAATAGCGTTGGCTATACTTTTCCCACTCTTCATCTGAGATGTCTTACAAAGTCTCTGACTCACTCTTTGGACACGTGTCAGCCGAAATACTGTATTGTATTTCCTATGAAGTTAATCTGAAAAGTAGGCAAGATTTTAAGAGCAGGATTATTTTTCACTGCTGTTCAGTGTCTTAGATGCACACACATACATTTATACACACCTACACAAACACATGTACAAAGCAATGATGAACTATCGATGTACCACTAGTATTGAATACTGTATATTATTGTTTATATTTGAGACTAAAGGGGCGTTCATTCCACCGTGGCACCACTGAGGACCACTGTATTGTTCTATAGTAGCAATAATGTTAATGCACTTAATGGACATCACCCAAAGAAAACTGCCTTAATAGCCTGCACTCTGCGACTGTATGGAAGCAACACAAGGGACCAGTATGGATACTACTTATACAGTGACTCTTCTTTGAAAAGACGACGTTTGAACCTGTGGATTTAGGTGAACATCGTACATACAGACTTTTATTTACCATTTGTTTTGATGATGAGTACAGTGGCCTGGTCTGGTTTGAATGTTTTCTTCATCATCTTGGGAAAAAAAATCAGTTTTGGAGTTCCGGGCTTTATCACAGTCTTATAAAGGAAACTAACGTATTGTGTTCTGTTTGTTGGAAGTGAGTGTTTTTTCTCTGCAGCTGTGCTAAGTTGCAGCTCTTCTGGTCAATGTCAGTCTGTCATCTAAGCTGACGTTTGAAGTAGAGGTCATGATGCTGATTCATGTGAAGAATTTCCTGACTGCCCTGCTTTACGGGCATGTTAGGGCTCTGCATTCCAAAAGTAAAAAATAACAAGATCATGTTTGTTAGTTTGGAGCTTATTGTGTAGCAAAATAAAGCTTGTTGATGTGCTGTTTTCATGCACACTAGGTTTGATCTGTTCAGGCTTTTGAAGACCAATACTAATGTTTTAGATTAGAGCTGAGTAATTATATTGGTGGCCAAAATAAAGCACAGTTCTGTTTATTTCAGCCTTTTATTGTTTTAGGGTGTTAAAGCTTCTAAAAAGCATCTAGACACTAAAACTGTCTAATTAAACTGAGACTAATGACATTCAGATTTTGACCAGTCGGCCACCCCTTACATGGCTTTGTCTGAGCGTTGTTGCTCTAGAGCTTTCCTTTGACTTTTTACATCCATGACTGGATCTAAAGCAGCACAATCAGATTTTTTGAACTCTTGTTGTCAAAGATTTGATACAGTGAGACTTGATTAGGTGTTTATGTGTAAATGCAGCTTTTATAAAATCAAGATTGCAGTTAGAACAAGTTGATTTGACTGGCTGAAGGAAGTTTTGTCAGTTCAGTGTACAGGTAAGGAAAGTGTGTGAGTGTTCAGTTTGCTTTAGTCAGACCCTGGGCATTGTCTGCCCAACAGAAGGCCTCAGTGCTTTTATATTAAACAAGAGGACGGTGAAAACCAAAAGTCCCAGAAGTCCCACTGCTGTTGCACTACTGCTCCATCCCAGTAGGAATTATTAAGGAAATGTTGCATGGAGGATTGTTTTCTGTAATGGGTCACATTCATTTAGTGTTGTTCATAGTATTCTTAACGGCAAGTGACGGCATTTAAACTATATGCTGTGTCTCCTTTATACAGCATGCCCAGCAGGTGCATGTGGTATCTATGAAGTAAATGTAGTTGTGTGTGTGTGTGTGTGTGTGTGTGTGTGTGTGTGTGTGTGTGTGTGTGTGTGTGTGTGTGTGTGTGTGTGTGTGTGTGTGTGTGTGTGTGTGTGTGTGTGTGTGTGTGTGTATATGTATGTGTGAGAGAGAGACTGGTTGTTGATTGCATGTGCACTAGTACATATGTAGACCTCTGCCATGTGTTTTGTGCATGCAAATGTTGGTATGTTTGTGTGTTTTTCCGTCAAAGACTGTAAATGACCTCTCCTGTATTATATTCCCAGTGGCTGTATTTTGTTCTATGTAGAGGCCAGTATTGCCTCAACTCTTATTTCCCTTTATTACTGATGTCATTTGTACCTTCTTCTTAAAGAAAGACATTGTAAATAGAAACTCCAAGACCAAAATACACACGACACACATGTGCCTTGATGCATTCAGTAGTATGTGTATTGGTAACTCTTAACTAACTGGACTTACAGTAACTATCTATAAACATGACATTGAAATCTTTGTTTCATACTATTCTTTATTATTTACCTACATGTGTTATTTTTCCTTCACATTTCCTACCATGTGTATGTATAGAAAGATTGTCTATTTTGTACTGTTATTTTTGTCTTTTCCTCTTAATTAAAAAAAAAAAAAATTCCAGTATAAGCCCATCTTTGTCTGGCCTTCTTGTCCCAACATTATACGAGCTTGTGTTTGCCTGTGCATAAATTAATATAAACATTTTAAGAAATTCTATTTTCTTATTTATTGAATGACAAGGAAAACTTAAAAGACCGGTGTGTATGATTCAGTGCCATCTAACAGTGAAGTTGCTAATTGTAACTAACTGAACACTGCTCCCGTCTATATTTGACAACCTGGGAATGAGTATGGGCTGTGAAGTGTGTAGGAGAAATTAACACGGATGTGAAAAAACTCAAAAGGCCCTATCTAGAGCCAGTGTTCGTCCATTCAGGGCTACTGTAGAAACATGGTGGTTAAACTCCAGGGAAGGTGACCTGCAGCATTATTATATTACTGTAATATATTATCAGAGGGGTATATTATATAGCACTATTGATAAAAACAGCTCATTCTAAGGTAACGAAAACACAATGATTTCTATATTCAGGTGTCTATACACTAACATACCATTTGTGCCAATAGATCTTCCTGCATGTTACACACTGGACCTTTAAGTCATCAAAATGATATCAGCAACTATATAAAAAAGAATATAACCAGATAGGATTTAGAGATATTTGCAAATGTTGAGCAAATGATCACGTTAGAACTGTATCAGATCAATCAAACTTATCTGCTGCAAAGTTAGTTGTGAATCTACAAATGCCTGGCCTGACAGGATTGATGTGAGGAAATGAACGGGGCATATTTCTACCAATGCATGGATTAAAAATAAATATATTTTATATATTAATTATATTTAATATTATAAGTACCACTGGCAGGACAAGGACCAGCAACCTGGCTCAGAGTACACTGAGTGATAGCTGCCATCTTGTCAGCTAGTTTGTTAGCTATTTGCTAAATCAATGTTGTTATCCAGCAGATATACTTTAATGCCAGCTATAGCAAACTAGGACAACACATTAAGGCTGGTTACCACACACTAGTGTTTTGCTATGGTGCTGTTACCTAGCTAATGCTGTTTATGTCATTTATCTTAATGCAGTATTCATGCATATCAGAGTTTCTGTAATTAGTAGGTTCTGGCTTTTAAATTGTGGGGTAACCACAAAACATCCTTAGGTTAAAAGTAGCTTCGAACTGGCTGAGTTAGGAGAAACTACTAAAAATAATGTCTGGAAAAACTATGTTGTGTTATATTGTCAGTCTGTGGTGTTTTTAATAGCTACATTTCTGACACCTAATTATTTTGTGACTATGTGAGCTTTAAACAACGTGAATGCACAAACATATTTCATTCCACATGACGTTGATGCAGCACTGATCCCAGCTGTGAAATCCTCAAGTGATCTGCTGTCAGGTGACAACAACCTGGATCCACAGAACGAGAAAACGTCTCAGGTCTGTGAACTGAAACTGCACTTTTTGGATGAGCAGACGCCATATAACTCACTGTCTAACTCATCCAAGATAAAACTGAGGTTTGAAAGGTTTACTTGCAAAGAGGCAGAGACACAACTTTTTCTCCAGCAGGGAATTCAAAAAGATTTGAGCCATACAACAGAATTTCAGCACAGAATATTATTAAGGAGACTTCCCTATAAACCAGCAGTGCTACCAGACCTGACACAAAATTGGCATGGTTACAGACAGAGTTTAAGACTCCTACACAGGCGTGGTTCACTTGCTGAGCGTGGATAGACCTTTCCTCGGGACTGCGAGGGTGTGTGCAGACTGTGTTTGATTGACATCTCCCTCACTCTGCTGTTAGCTTTGTTGCACCTGTTAATTGGGGCAATTTACACCTCTACCTTTTTAATGTGCACAGCTTGGTGGCATCAGGTAATTACATTACACTTGAACAGAGATCTAATCTGTGTGTGTGTGTGAGCTGAGCCTTTAACTAGCTGCAACACTGGTTTTGCATGTTTTTACCCATTTGCTGAAAACTCACCTACACTGCAAACCATTTTCCAAAGCATGCTTTTGTGTTTTTGAGGGAGGGAAGAACAGAGCACCACTCATAGCTAAGCATTGAATGTAAGGGTAATCAAATTCAAACCATATTAATATTAAAATTTGCCTCGTTTGTCTCTGTAAACCCACAGCAAAAGAGACTATTAAACGTTGTCTCCTAAACTCTCTTGAAATCATGGTCAGTTTGTGGTTGCCATATTGTATCTATGTTCCTGTTTGGTGTTAACCCTTTTTTAAAGTTTACTCTACACTGTGTGGAAGCTTAAATGCTTTAATTCTTGCTACAGTATCAGTATTTGCAACTGTAAACCTGCAAGCCACTGTACCATAACTGAAAAGATCAAGCTACAACTTAGAACTTGGGTCCAAACAGGCTATAAATATTCCCAGAGGCCTTAATTGCGCATTAACGTGTTCTTTCTGGAGGAATTAACTGTTCCTGACTGACCAGGCAAAGGCACACAGACCTCATTAAAAAAAAAGACCGGGGGAAGTAAGGGAAAACAAGAGAGACAGTTTAACAAGAGAGACGGGAGACAAAGAGGGTGTGGTGCCAGTGTAAATCTTTGCACCGTTCATCATCCACTTTTACCAAAACAACAAGAATCTCAAGAATAGTTAGAGGACTGTTTTATTTTTCAGACAAATAATGATACATGTGCGGTATGTATCAGTACATCTAACTCCGCAGGGATTTTTCTGCTTGTGAAATTTATATCACAAGACTGATATTTATATCAGTAATACTGCATCAGTGTCAGTTATTTTTTGTAATAACCACACTGTGTATACTTCAAGTAAATGCTCCTTAAAAGACAAAGCCTCACTCTCTGTCTGTAAACTGGCGCACAACAGGCAAACACTCTAATCACTGTCCAAGTCTCGCTTTAACTACAGGAAAAATAGTATGAAACACAAATACTGGTCCATCCTGACCTGTACGGTTAATTTCTTCTTGATACATTTGTTGGTTCAGAGAAAAGTCAGTCTGCATCTTGATCTTGCCTTTAAATATTCTTCAAAGTTGTTTTCTCCAAAAGTGAGGAACCTAAAAAGTTCCTTTTGCATCAAAGTCCATGTGATTAAATTGGCAGAAATGGTAGCATGGGTCACTTTATTCAGCAGCTGGAAAGACAAAAAGGCAGACACATTACTGTGGTAACCAGTTATATTCATTTAAGAGTTTGTAAGGGTCACACTGGACACATTTTTAACATATCCTAATATATCCCAATATACTCAGAAGTCAGAATACAACTTGAGATCATACAAGGGGGATGTAAGGAAACTGAGGTTCAGTACTTACATAAATAGGGGTCAGTACAAATGCACTTTTGTAATTGTTTTTGCCAAATTAGCTATAAAAAAAAGTTGGAAAGCAATAAGTAGCTGTCATACTGTCTAAATAATTAGTCAAATTCTGTATGAAATGAATGTGCACTCAAAAATCCTCTCTGATTCTTCAGGCCAGCCGCTCTAATTTTATATTCAAAATGCACAGGGGCTGCTTTTCTCTTTTGGCCACAAACTGAATTCTTTTGAAATGTCAAGTGTCTTCTAACATGTCAGTGAATGTTAGCCCTCTGAGACCACACTGTGCTGACTGTGGGGCTCAGTGAAAGACTTCATAGGTCTTCATAGGAGCTGGAAACATTAGCAACCTCCCTGGGACATTCTAATGATAGGTTGCTGGGCTTCATGCATATTGGCAATGAAGGAAGAAGTGGTTTGTCATGGATATGTATCAAATACAAATAACATGTCAACCTCCATCTCTTTGGAGTTGTTGTTTATAAGAAATGAAAGCTACACCTTGCAGGTGATGTTCATTAGTTCTCTTTCATGCAAGACAAAAACCTGTGCTATAATAATAACACAAACCTGACTTTATTGTTGCTTTATTGTATGTAGCTAAATATGTATGTTGACTTTTCAAGAAAATGGTTCTTTTTCAAACCCAAGACGTTGGGGGAGGTGTGTGTGCACGGCTACACCTATGCATGTGTGCATATTTGTGTGTGTGTATAAATCCACTCTCACCTCCTCCATCACTTCCAGTGGTTTATAGGAGCCCAGCGGGGAGCCACATCAGCCTCCCCTTTGATGGTGACACACATGATTCATGGCTTTTAGGGACCGTTTGTTTTCATTACGCCTTCTCGTCAGCTCGCTGTAGCTGCATCACGGTTTCGTGCAACGCAAGCAAATTTGGGCCAGAATGAGAGGAAAGAATTTCAAGAGGAGAGTTTTTTTGGCACTAGAAGAAACAAAGGGGCTTGGTTTGGGTATAAAGAGGAGAAACTCAAGTCAGGACGACGGCTGCCCGCGGCTACTTTTTCCACCGTTGCTTGGGTTCAGAGGTGGTCAGGGATTCATAATATGTCAGAGTCTCGGAAAATAAAGAATTGAGTACGGGGTATGGAAAAGTCAAAGGTCCAACCTCTCTTTAAAGATATTCTTTTAGTCCTTCTGCTGCATTCTCTAGTTGTTTCTCTTCATACAAAACCTTGTAGACTTGCTAGCCTAAGGCAGAAATAAAGTTAAATAAAAATATGTAATAAAGTTGTGGCTCAAAGTATGCATTCCTATGATGATGACGATAGTAATGTTGATGTTGATACTGATGGCAGTTATGATGATAAAATCAACGGTGATGATGAGGATGAAACCACAGGTCAAGCTTCAGAACTTGAGAAAGCCAATGGGTCAAAGGGCTCCAGCAGAATGAGCCATGCTGTCACGTGGAGGCATCTAGGACAGGGCGTCCTTCACTATCAGGTTGTTGAATTGAATGAATATATAATGATGTCCAGCTGTTTTTGTCCCTCACCTGTCCTCCATTGTGATCTATGTAGACAAAGTGCAAATGTCTAGGAATCACTGAGCACAATGTCCTTGTTCTGATACATTTCTTGAATACTACCATTGGCACACATGTAATATCTGCTTTTGGCAAGCAAAACAATAGAATCCAAATAATCCAGTTACATCTGATATGTCGCTTGACAACAATTCAAACTACAATTTTCACAAAGGAGGAGTGGCTAAACAGAGTGGTCTGTTTATGTAAAAAACTGTCAGAATCTCTTCTCATCATAGTCTTTCAATCATCATTGAGTCAAACAGATGATCTACATTGAGATGTTAAATAGTGTGAGTCCTCTGGTGAGCAGACACAGATCAGACGTCTTCTCAATCCTCTATATCAAGTAAGAATATTTCCCTCTCATGAGAAATTCATCATTCGTTTACGCCAAAGTCAAAAGACAAACCTTTCTTTCGGGGGGGCTAGTGTCCAGCAGACATGGTTGACCAGGCCCCCTCCATCCTCCAGACAGAGAAGGCGTAGCTCAGTCTCTCATGGGCCAGGTAGTTACACCCAGCCAGCTTAGCGTCCATATCATCGCTCTGCAGAACCTGGTACAGAAAGTCAATGTATCGTGATGCCAATTTAAGTGTCTGGATCTTGCTCAGCTTGTCAGAGGGGAGTGTTGGGATTATTTTACGCAACGAGGCGAATGCTTCGTTTAGAGATTGTGTCCGCTGGCGTTCCCGGATGTTAGCAATCACCCGCTGGCCATGTGGGTCCTCAAGTGCTGAGAGATCTCCAGGACTTGTATCAGGGACAGGAGACAGAGACGGTCCTGAGGAAGGCGGCCGATGTTGAGGACTCCGCTTGAGTCTTTTGGATCCAATCGGTGTGTAGATCTGGATGTCGTCCCCTGTCTTAACCTTGCCATCGTCTGCTGATGTTGGGGGAGTAACTGTGGTAACGTGATCCACCTTATGTGAGCCTGTCTGCCTTTTATGCCCGGTGACCCCCGGTGTTGCAACAACGACGGGACAGGCATTAGAAGTTGGTCGTCCCGTGTTTTCCCCGCTGGAAACCAGCCCTCCCTCAGGGTGGTCATCATTAGACTGCTCCTCCTCTCTCATGCTTGGCCACGTTTTTCTTCTGTCTTCTCTCTCCTTTACGAGACTCCCTATACTTCACCCCTCTGAATATTTCCAGTGATTCTCTCTTTCCTTCAATATGTCTGTCCACTCCCCCTCTGCTTCTTTCTTACAATTTTCCTTCTTCACTTCGTCTTCAGGAACTCCCTCTGTTAGGCTGTGTGTTTCTCTGGCCTTCTGCTGTGTTGTTCTTCTTCTCCAACAGTTATCAGCTTTACTCTTTGACACATCCAAACATGCCAAGCCAAAATGGGTGAGTAATCAGCCCTCAGTTTTGGATTGCCACGGTGCTGCTTCATCCACATATGTGGAAACCTGCCAATGATGTCTTCCCAGTCTCTGTGAGTGTACACTGCATCGGCAAACTGGGCTCTTCTCACGTCCCGCTCCTTTAGCTGCATGTGAAACAACGGCAACCTGAATCAGACTTTTTAAAGGGAGGGAACCGTGAAACTTTCAGCTGCCCACCCATCCAACCCACTTATTGGTCCGCAGGACTTTTTTTGGACAGCTGAGCCTAAAACAACAGGAAGAAAGAATCTTAAGCGATTGGTCGGATCAAAGGGACGAGGCGGAGACAAAGGTATGCCGTACAGCCAACCAAATTGAACCGTTGTGACGTTGCTTCTTGTCATAGAAGTTGCCCAAGTTTATAGGTTCCAGATTTCCTCCAAAGCAAGTCGCTACCATCCCCCCTCTTGCTGCCTGGTTCTCTGTCCCCCACTGCCTCTCCACAACTCAGCACCATCATCGGTTGCTTTCAATATAGTTCAGAGGAAAGGAAAAAAAACTGAAAAAGAAGCTTCACAAATGTTTTTGTTTCTGGTTTGAAAGTTGGACAAAGTTCATCTACATTTTTCTACCACAGGGTAGCTCTGTCTACTTTATAAATAGTGAAATGTGATGGCTTTTTAACACATAACATTCCAGGCAGATGGAGTAATGGTGAGAGACTTAGGTAATCATTCTTTCATTGTTCATTTTCTGTTGGGTAAAATTTTTTTATATTGTTACAATTGTGGCAGGTCCGCCATCATTAGGAATTGAAGATAAATAGAAATGATTTTATACAATACATAAAAATGTAAATAAATAACAATATATATAGATATATAATAGAATATCCTTACTTCCTAACATAAACTATGGCCTTTAGTCAGACATCGTCATTTGGCAAATAACTCATTAAATGTGAGAATGTAAAATAAAGATCTATTGAATACAAAATTGGAAGAATTTGTCAGAATATTTTTGAAAGAATGAACACCTCTTTTTAACAGAGCGTTCTTCTTGTTTGTGAAACAACAGAGACAGTGTGTTTTATTTTACTGCCAGTGACTTGGCTGTAGTTTCTAAGCACAGACCTGGAGGGAGGAGAGAGCTGGCATTTAGTCAGCATGCTCTAATCACTGCATTAAGGAAAGAATGAGTTCTGTGGATCAGGGGGAGGCCTGTGGGACATTTTGTTGCTTTCAACCACCGAGTTACATCCAGAACAAGCCTCGGTCCAGGTCCAACATGGACTTTGCTCTCCAAACTTCAGGGTGAGCCTCCAGCATGGCCCACAGCCTCTCTCCCACAAGAGAAGAGTCTATTGTTAGTGTTTTGCATTTCAGAGGCAAGATGCTTCCCTCTCATGAGAACACTTGAGTGAAAATGGTTTTGTACAGGCACGGTTAGGACACAGAGCTGGAAAATCTCAAAGTTTCTCCACTGAGTCAACTCAAAGATGGCTCAAGTCCACAACAAGAAGAGAAACCTCTATTGTCTGACCACAGATGATACCATTTCCCTTTTGCACACACCACTGCTCACCATGACAGTGTATGTTTTTGTTGCCACAACAATATTTGCACTTGAATGTCTAAAAAAGTTGCTGGAGCTTTATGAGACTCATGTGTTATCGTCTTCTATAACCTGTACAAACCAAATGGACTAGCCTCTACTGTGCCCATGTCTATAATACACTGTAGACATATCCCATTGTAAAACCTACTGTATGCTCCTGTCGTGAGGTACCCTGACTGCCCCAGATGATTTGTTTTACAGAATCATTTAGGAAGTCATACTTGGAAAGTGTTTGGAAAAGGGCAGGCACTTTCAAAAAATACTTGGAAGGTGATTGGATGAACCATCTGTCTGTCACCGTATACCTCAACCAATCAGATCAACAAAGCCAGTCGGGAGAAGAACAAAAACATCTTTTCCACCAAGAAAAGCCATCAGTGCCGTTCTTTGCTCTTCTTTCAATGAAGAATACTCTCTAGTTTTTAAATAACTGATAGCATCTACGCTGACCTCATTAGCGTAGATGCTACCAGCAGTGTTGTTTTTGGACGAACACACCTGTAGCTGCCAGTAGTTCCTCATAGGATGCTGTCCAATCCAAACCACTGTGGTCACCACATAGGACACCACGGCGTAGCTTAAACCCTGGTAAGATATATTCTCGCTTGATTTTGTGATCTCGCGAATCAAGCTACGTCGCAGGGTTAATTATGAAGTTGCATCTCTCTGCATTCTATGTACTTGTTACAAATGCACAGAACTCCATCAACACTGGGCGCAAAAAATATAGTGTTGGAAGCCAACATGGGGTTTGTTAAAGATAGGGTGATGACGAAAATGCAGGTCTACATTTATAAATAAATGTGCATTTGTCAACAAATTGGAACTTGAAGTGATAGATGGGCACATACATAGGCTGCATGGATAGTAAATAACTAACTCAACAGCTAAAATGTCCTTGGTTTCGGAATCACCTTTAACAAAAAATGTTCAGATATTGTAGAACTTGTAAATTTAACAATAACTAATAACATATAGCCTGAACACCTGAGTCCATTACTCAAACAACGATTTATTTTAAATTTAATGTACCAGTGTATACAATTTAGTGAAGTTGCATATTGCAACCACATGAATACAGCACAGCTTTCATCTTGTAGGAGAAACTACGGTGGCCATGAAAAATGTTTTTCAAAACATTCTTTTGTCATTTATGGTTTTTTATTGCAGCCAAGGGAGCTGTCCCCTGCTGGCCATCACATAGAATGCAGCTTTAAAACACTTCACAGACCTGGAAGGTATATACTGTCAATGGCTCCAACACACACACACACATACACACACACACACACAAACCCAGACACATAGACGCACACAGAGCTGACTGCACAGCACAACACAAAATAGAGCCTCCTAAATGTTACATGTGGACCTTTTTAAAATATGTTCCTGTTCACTGTGAACAGATTGCAGTCATCTGAATGAATCAGAAATCACAAGCATACCTTAAAAAATACAACTTGTTGCTGGAACATTTATATTTTGGCATAGACATAGATATCTGCCTGATTAATGTATGAAGTGTTGAAATGAAATGGATTAGTTCTTCCCATAGTTAAATGGGTTTCCATCAGCAGGGCACTGGCCTTAACCAGCCATGCCTGTTTTTTGCGCTGGGGCTGCCAATTGCTTCCAAATAGCTAAGATATGATATATGAACTTTCCCAAAAGGGTTAATAATGTATAAACTTAAAAGCACCCTGTGGAGTTTTTGGCCACTAGTAGCACTATTGAGCAATGTTTTTAAAAGCAGAGCACTATTTTATTTGTATTGCATGCGCAGCAAATACACCCACGTGAATACTTTGCAATGCAATACACATTCCTGCCGGTTTCATGCTATTTCCCCAATCGGTTCCCAGCAGTCGTGCCAAGAAATATAGCAAAGCACCTGCAAAGGTAAGGACGAAGACTGCTAGCCAGTGTAAAAATGGATGTAAACAATGCAGGACTTACAGTATTATATACTTTGGCTTAGCAAATGTTTTATGAGGATGGAAATGCATTCAACAGGTCTCAAGGATTCACACAATGCGTCTTGGTGAGAAACATAACTAAACATACTGTTGTTTATAAGAATTCCCCAGGGTGCCTTTAATAACTTGGCTTAAAGCTAACCCAATTTAAGCTAAAAACATTGCATCTTGTCCACTTGCAAAGGCTGATTATGGTGAACATGTTAGCAAGCAATGGAGCAAAATTAAATCTGATCCGTCTCTGGCCTGACAATTGTAGTTGTAGTTTTCAAAAACTGAAGTGGGTGATATAATAACTTAACGCAAGGTCTCATTGTCATTTGATCCATTATTAATATAAAACATATTATTTAGTACAACTGAAATATTTTTTATAATCTTAAGCTTTATATGATATAGGCATGGGGTCACACAATGATCACATTAGTTTTAACACAAACAGTCTGGTGTGGAATGACTATTAACATATTTACGTCAGAAAGTTGAGTTAAAGTAACAATCCTGCTGTCATACGAGCCTTTGAGTTGTGGAAATTAGCTTCAATAAATACTCCTGTGCATAGACCACTGCCTCACTGACTGATTCTTTTTCATCTTCTTCTCTTTAAACATCATCAGACTCCGTGGGCGATGGGACACCTGTGATGGATCACAACTATTTACATATCACAGCTCCCTTGAAACTGTTCCTTGCCTGCTGAAAATAAATACCTCCAAGCTACAGGAGTGAGTGATGGAAAATGGATATCAGGTCATGATATAAACACATATATATTGGGGCATGGGAGTGGGGAGGGGCAGGCCACGTTCACAATGCTTCGTCTTGTATGGGACGGCCCCCCGGAGGCTGACTGCAACTGGAAAAATGGGAAAGAACACCGGACCCTGTCTGTTTGAACTGCATGCTCAAATGAGGACTTAGCATAAATATTTCCAGCAAGAGAAATGGGAGAATGTTATCACATGTGGAGCTTATATATACACACATATGGCACACACACACACACACACATGCTTGAAAATTCAATACACAATACAATGTGGCATGCATTTACACAGATACACAGGATCCACTGTATAAACAAGTCGATTAAAGGACGTTAGGTACTGTATTTTGTTTGTCATTTTATATTGTGAAACTCATTTTCCATGTAACAGCTATGTCTGTCCTGAACAATTTGGATTTTGTATTTGATTCAATTCTGTTTTAGTTCTTTTTTTGAGTAACAATTTCTCAACAATTACATAGCTAAGGAATCTGCGGTCTAAACACTGTAGGCAATGGTTCTCAATGTTAAACAACCCACAGAGAAATATCACCCAACTCAGCAGTTCCCCTGAGCTCCATGGAGGGTTTTGGCTGCTTTCAGCTCATTGTTTTGGTTTTACTTTACTGTTTTGGTACTCTCGCTGCTCTCATCAACTCCATTCCCAACTGCAGCCCAGCACACAACTAGTTGATAGTACCCCAACACAAAGGTGGAACTTTTGGAGGTTCATTTTGTGAAAATTCCTCAGATATGATCAACAAAGGTAATTGTCAGCCAAAAACACTTCATGCTGCACTTTGCAGTTTCTTAGGTTTCAGTTGTGCCCAAAGACGATTTCAGTGTGTAACAGTCCTTTAAACTAAACTAAAAGAGCTCACTGAGCACAGTCTGAAGTATAAAACCTTTAAAAACTGAAATTATTATTTAACAGTACTTATTTTTATTGACTTACAAACAACATGAGCACACTGTCAGAATTTAAATGTGTAGCAGAGTCCCTTTGTACTTTACTGCACAGTTGGGCAGTGCTTTACAACACATAACAGGAAGTGCATTCTGAGCTGAGAAAAGGACAGAGAAAGATCTTTTGGGCTCTTTATTCTGAACAAGAACATTTTGTTTTTAGTTGAAATAGTAAAAGCTTTAAAATCGAAATGTGTACAAAGTTGTTTGCTGTGAACAATCATTTATTTATCTATTATATATTTCTACACAAATAGAGCATAGTGTTGTTAAGGTCACTGTCCACATTGCAAGCTTTTTTAAAATTCTTTTTTTTTTAATTCTTTATATTTTTTACATTCTAGTTGTCCATTCCATTCCAAGTCAAGAATTACTTGATTACATTTTTGAATAAAATATGGCAATTTCATTCTTGTCAACAACAACAACAAAAAACAGCATCCCACGTGTTGTAGAACACACTTTCAGGGTTTCAAGGGCTACTTTTAACTACATCTGTCTTGTGTGTCTCCCCAAATATTTATCAGGTCTAACGCCTCACTGTCCCTCTACTGACTCCCTCGATCGCAGCTATCTTCCATGTTCCATCCACAGAGTGAGTCCTGCCACCAAATTGTAACAAATATTGACCATGACTGATGTAAAAGTCACACGAATTCCGATAAGACTGCTCACACTGAGATCGCATTGTAAAATTACTATAATTATCAGATTTAGGCCATTTTTGCCAACAGTCTGAACATATATCTATGAGGTTCAAACAGCACCTGCAGCTTTTTCCAAACCCAGCTGCTGTGTCTTGTAGAAATGACTGAAACACCACTAGAGGTCATCATGCCTGAGGTTTTACTTAAACGTACTGCAGAAGGGAAGGTCTGTCACACTCTGATCTTTATAGCTGCATGTGTTCATTTTGCCAGAGCAATCAGGTTTGTGCATGTGTGTGGAACTGTGGATGACAAGGGAACTGTCCGTCTATTCCTCAGGCAGAAACCACAGGCAATACCACATAACCAGATAACACATGTATACTATGAAATAAAACCAGAAGATGTGGATAAATGACATAAGGACCGTGCATATGCATATCCATAAACAGACCTTAAACTGCCATGGGGTGGAATATAAAAATAGTTAAGAAATGCTTCAGCAGGAATTGTAGCTGCACACAGACCAATGAACACCCCCGACAGTCCACTGTGAGTGCACGAGGATAGAAAAGCTCCTACAGCTGCCCCCACTGTCACCCCCAGCATTCCTACAAATCCATAGTGATTCTGTCCATACTGGTTGATTACTGCCTCTGCTGCGGAAACAGATACCCCTACTGCTCCTGCCCCCCCTATCAGAGCTCCTATAGTGGGACCTGGACCTAGCACAGGGAGAGCCAACTTTATAGCACCTAAAACTGCTGCACCAGAAGCTGCAGCACTAGCACAGATTGTAAAAGCTCCACCTCTTTGCCAAGATGCAAATATTGACATTCCTACAGTAACTGTGAACAGCAGAGAAGTTAAAACTCCAACAAATATTCTCTCTAGTACAAAACTGCGTATGTCTGTGGAAGCTGGTGACAGTAAGGAAACAATCTGCTGCCCTGCAGTGTTATATACATCAGATATGATCAACATCAGTGGCACAGGTGCAGTGGTTAGTTTGAGGGAAAGCAATTTTTCAAGCTCTTTAACTGTTATAATCATAGGAGTCAAAACAGCTGCAAGAATGAATCTAATTCTAAATAAAAAACCTAGTAAAAGTATAAATAATATAATAGTTGGCCAAAAAACTAATGAAAAATAAAGATGTAAGTTAAACCAGACTCCAGAAATGATTCCAAACAGAAATACTGCTGTCACTACAATTAAACACCACACCAAATCACTAACATTTAAAGTAATGGATAGAAAACCCTCTAAAGCAAGGCCCAGAAGACATCCAGTTGCAGTGACACCCATGAGACACACTGGCCCAGCAACACCCAGGGCCTTCCCCATCGCTGCTTCACCTTTTATTTTAATCACCAATGAATACGCTGATAATCCAATAAAGATCCCTACAGCTAATGATAAAGCTGAGGAAAAACCACCAAATATTACTGGAAAAACGGATAGGTTAATTTCATGGATTAGAAATATCACTTCCAAATAATCATAATCAATTATGTATTTTTCTAACTGCTCCATGAGCAGCCTGTTCTCAGCCAGAAGCTCCAGGGACTGTAGCACAACGACTGCTGTCGCTCCCAGCAGAAGACCTCCTGCAGCTCCTGACACCAGTCCAATGCAAAAGATGGAAACAGCTGATGCCAGCCCTGAAGATGTACAAATGTACGAAGGCATATTAGGGCCATAGTTGGTAAAAAAATAAATAATTACAGAGCTGCAGGAGAGGGGTAATATTAAAAAATAATAATAATACATTTACAAGATTTTACAATTACAAGAAAAAACCTCAAATATTCTCTGTCACAAATTAATGAAACAGTTTTTTTCATTAAGGTACCACATCACTTTACTTCAAGTCGCTCACTGCAGTGTGAGATTCAGGGTGCTGCTCCGGCTCATTCAGTATCATCATTTTATGACAAATACATGAAATAACATTGTTTCCTCATTATGTTATATGTTATGTCGATTAAAAAAACACAAGCCGGCTTGCATTACATTTCCTTGAAAACGTATTTGCTGTTGCACATTATTGTATCAATGTTGCGTTTAGGAGACAGGGTTAGATATAAAAACTGCTGAGTGTAAAAGAAATATCTCAGAACACACAACACATAAATTGTAAGTGTGTAACAGGATTTTATCAATACACATCTAATATTTTTGTTTTAAAGGGTTTTTTGAAAGCACTGTAATGAATGAAATTTACTTACCAGAGTTAACACAGGCAGGTAGAGGGATATGTCTGTAATAAACAGTAAAATAATAATGTCAAGTCTAAAGAATAGATAAATTGATATCATTCAGTTTCATTCATCAAGATTAGAACTGGGGAAAGTGATGCATGCCAAAAACTTGTATCATAAAACATAAATCACTTCAAAGAACTGAATGGATAGCATATCTGATATCTGATATCAGAGATAAAGACATGTACTGCAGGATTGAAAACGTAAACTTTAACCTGTTGTTGACCCTGCTGTTGTCCTCTGTAACAGGAGGCATCTGAATCTGATCTGACAATGAAAAAAGATATTGATAGAGAAAGTTGAATTCTTCAGCTTCTTGTGGATTTTGTCACCAAACTGGAAGCACATCAAACAGTTTTCAGAAAAAACGTAATCCTATAACACAGAGAGCCAACTAAGTATACATAAATGAAGCTCACCAGTGTCAGATTGGTCCATTGTTTGTGAAGCTGCTCACAGATGATGAGCAGGAATTAGTTTTCAAGTCCTTTTCTTCTTAGATCTTCCCACCCGTAAACCTTTAAAATAGTCTTTGACTTCTCAGATAGCCTACAGTATGAAACAAGCTCGGTACTGTAGTATGAATGAGCCCGACACAAAACTTGAACTTCTACCTTGTGTAACAGGAATCCTCAGATATGATCAACAAAGATAACCGTTAATCAAACACACTAAACACCTAATGCTGAACTTTGCATTTTCATAGGTTTCAACTGTACACAAAGCTGAATTAACAAACTAAAACTCACTAAACTGGTTTTACTAAACATGCCCCTTTGAACTATTTAAAAAGACTGCCTTGCATCTGAAAAAATTGACTATGCCAGGCAGCTTTAACACTTATATTTACAGTGTGAGTTTGTCTGTTGGCCCAGTGAAGAATGTTGGTGAGCAGGTTCTGAGTTTGTTGCCATATAACATCCAAAGCACCCAGTAGCTGTACTTTATAGTAAAAACAAAAGAGAAAATGAGGAGAGTATTTCCAAAGGTTTGGTTTATTTGGGATTGCTAAAGAAGCAAAAACAATGAATATTTTGTAGATGATTCCACGAACATCATGTTTTACTAACTGTAGAATAAGAGTTTTTTGATTTTTTTACTGGTTTACACCCTTTGCTACACTTTGGCAAAGAGTGAATTAAAGAGCTTTGAACTGTTCCTGTAACTGTTAACATGTTTATGTAGCCCGGAGAAATTAAACTGACACAGGACACAGAAATATATTTTGGGTTCTTTATTCTGAACAAGAACATTTTTTAAAAGCTTTCAAATCAAAAGTTACAAGAAGGTGTCTGCTGTGGTCTCCTGGTAGATTAACCGCAGAGGACTTTCCTCTCTTTGTACTGTAACTCTCACACATACAGTATCTAGTCTGTTTAAAAGGTTGTCATTAATTCTTCACTTTATAGCTGTACAGAATACCATGAGCTATAAGGGCAACAATAACCCTTGTTCAAAGTACAAAAATAATAAGCATGAAAAAATAAGTAATACAGCAGAGTATAAGAATAACTGCAGTTAATCTTCCTGATTTTTTTTTTTGAAAATACAACAATAAATACAACAACATCTCACAAAACATGACATTCCACAAAACACAAAGACATTTCACAAAACAATATCATTTCAAGACCCTGTTTCAGAAATCCGTTTAACAAACTCACAAACACTGAACTCTGAGTTCATTCAGCCTGAGATGGGAAACTCAAGAGTTTTCAGTTCCAGAACAGCTGATCAGAGTTGGTTCAGTTACCTCTGAGTATGTTCACTCTGAGTAAAACTCTTATGTGGTTAATGAAAAAAGCCTTCATCAACAGAGCTCTGATACTACAATTCACCACGGAAGAGCCTCCATTTTAATCCGGCAGATGTAGATCATAGCATGTGGACCTCGCACACAAAATGAGCCTAAGTTAGAGCAGGAAGTCTCAGTAAGTTAACACAATAATGTTTTGTTTAGTTGTCCATTACATTTCAGAATCAGAATCAGAATCAGAAATACTTTATTGATCCCTCACTGACAAAACACAGGGGCCAGCAACTTCAGATGAAAAATATAGTTAAAGATTTAAAAGATATATAGTTTAAATGCATTCAGGCTGATAACTGTAAACTCGTAATCTGATCCAGTCACAATGTCATTTGTACTTGAAAAGCTGTTGAGGTTAAAATACTGTAGATTATAAATACTGCACATCTATTTGGATCTTGGGTACAGTATAGTATTCAGTGGCTTTATTTCAACTCCTTCAACCAATACATTTAAACACAGTCACTGAAATGCTGTTAAAACATTCAGATACATAGCATATATAATGTAAAAACCTCACTTTCCAACTACATTCTGCAGCTACACTACTGTCCTGCTCACTCAGAAATATTGACATATAATCTCCAAAATTACATTAATATTATCACTGAGACTAATCACATCATGAGTGTTAGAGATATGACTCTATATGTCTAGAGCTTCATAACGATTTTTATAAATTAATCTGAGATTACACATTCTGTGCAATAAACATTTTTCAGTCAGACAACTCACGTTTAAAATGTTTATTGCAGTACAACATAGTTTGGCATCTAGAACTCATCACTCCCCATAGATACATTTACATAGAGATACTGAGCCTGCAGGTGGATGCTGGGGTGGTGGTGGTGGGGCTCAAAGAACAGGCAGCAATACTGGTGCAGGGCAGCAGTGGCACTGACAGAGCAGAGGGAGAGAGGCAAAATTTGCAACTTAAATAGACTGCCAAATTAGGAGGGTGTGTTTGGTTTATGATCATAGAGAGTGAGGCATCGTGTGTATATAGCAGTGCAGCTTGAGTTGACTGAACTCATCTGTGTCACTCCATTAGTGGAACTGCTCTAAGAAACTGACAGCTGTCTTGTGCACGATGTTATAAAAAAAGAACCTCCACTCGCAAAAAGGACATGCATTTATTCTCTTTAGATAGTCCTTAGTAACTACCATAATATCCAGTAAACCTCTGCTAGTTAATGCACTTTGATATATGTACTTTGATTTGGAGTGAATCGTGAGGAAGAAAAGCTGCCAGCAAGCAGGCTAGGTTCACAATGCTGTTTAACGTTCCTCTCTTTCTGGAATAGAAAATGAGTTCCCTTCATCTCAGGTTTGAAGTCAGAGTTTCACTGAACCTGCTTTCTACAACAGAAATCACAAAAAGTGTTCCGTAATCGGAAATCGTTATGTTTTGTTAAAGATTCACATGATCTAAACCACAGCTAAGCTAGTCAGATAGTAATGACAGAGCATCAGCCCCAATGTATGAACTTCTTGTAGTTTGTGTTTTCTTGTGTTTTCTGTATTCTATGCAACTGCATTGCACCAGTGTCTGTGCTATCACTCAGAACACTCACCATTCAATAAAAACGTGGTCCCTAACAAACAAAACTGATGCATATGTAGAAATACATATACACATTAAGGCTTGTAAGCATAATATATAAAACAAACCGGTGTAGGTAAATACAATGAGAACTGTAAGGTATACACATTAACACTCCTCAGCTTGTTTAAGACTCAAAACATCATGTTTAGGACATGGTCTAGATTCAGGACCTGTTTAGGGATCTTATAGACCAAATGACGAACTATCTTGTGAAACATATATACATATATAATACAAAGCAGTGTGGTTAAATGGTATCAGGACTACATATATGCATAGCCATAAACACACAAACAACCTCCATGATGTGGATGTGGAATGTGAAAACAGTAAGGCTTCAGCAGGAATTGTAGCTGCACACAGACCAATGAACACCCCTGACAGTCCACTGTGGGCACATGAGGATAGAAAAGCTCCTACAGCTGCCCCCACTGTCACACCCAGCATTCCTACAAATCCATACTGGTTCTGTCCATACTGGTTGATTACTGCCTCTGCTGCAGAAAGAGAGACCCCTACTGCTCCTGGCCCCCCTATCAGAGCTCCTATAGTGGGACCAGGACCTAGCACAGGGAGAGCCAACTTTATGGCACCTAAAACTGCTGCACCAGAACCTGCAGCACTAGCACAGATTTTAACTGCTCCACCCCTTTGCCAAGACACAAATATCGACATTCCTACAGTAACTGTGAACAGCAGAGAAGTTAAAACTCCAACAAAAATGGCTTCTAGTACAACACTGCGTGCGTCTGTGGATGTCGGGGACTGTAAGAAAACAATCTTCTGCTCTACAGTGTTATATACATCAGATATGGTCAACATCAGTGGCACAATAACAATGGGGAGTTTTGCGGCATGTGAGATTTCAAGTACTTTTACAACTATAATCATAGGTGTCAAAATAACAACAAGAATTAACCTCATTTTAGAAAGGAAACTCAATAGAAATGCAATCAATGCAGCACCTGGTGCAAAACAACACAAGATAATTAGACTCAACCAAGACTGTAATTTACAACTGGAAAAAGCCATACTGGCAATGACTGGAAACAGCCATACTACTCCTGAAATAAAAATCCACAGCAAAACACTAACATTTAAAGTAATGGATAGAAAACCCTCTAAAGTGAGGCCCAGAAGATATCCAGTTGCAGTGACACCCATGAGACACACTGGCCCAGCAACACCCAGGGCCTTCCCCATCGCTATACCCTACAGCTAATGATAAAGCTGAGGAAAAAACACCAAATATCACTGCAAATACAGATATCTGAGTGTCATACACCTGGTTATAACTTTCCCACTGTAAAATATATTCTATCATCTTTTCCAAAAAAAACCTATCCATGATGTATTTTCCTAACTGCTCCATGAGCAGCCTGTTCTCAGCCAGAAGCTCCAGGGACTGTAGCACGACGACTGCTGTCGCTCCCAGCAGAAGACCTCCTGCAGCTCCTGACACCAGTCCAATGCAAAAGATGGAAACAACTGATGCCAGCCCTGAAGACAAATGCATTCTCATTAGTAGTGTAGAGGACTGAAAGGTCACAGTGTGTACCATCTAAGGTGTGGACTCAAGTCAACTTAAACTTGACTAAACCACTCTGACTTTAATATCAATGACTCATGACTTCAACTTTTTGACTTGGATTAACTTTATATCCTCGCCAAGCTCAACAATTAAAACAATTTTAGAAAAAACAAAAATATTGACATATACAATGACTGTACCAGTCGATCACTGTACACAAACCGAAAATGAAGGATGTGTTTGGCAATGCAGACAGACCTCTGATTACATCATTAAGATATAACAACCGTGTCTCCTATTGTATTAAACATCAAGTCGCACGTTTTTTAGCTGCACGTAGCTAAAGATAGAAACGCTGTGTAAAGGTAAGACAGCTCCTTCTGTTGATGTGCATTAAGGTTGTTAAATGACAAATGAAAAGCGTGCCACTTAATTTAATGATGGCAAAAACAGATTATAGGGGCCTTGCACATGGGCTTGGCAAAACAACTTGACAGCACCCCCAAAACGCAGCCACAAAGGCACGTTTCACCAATATGTATGAAAACTGGTGGGCACATCATGACCAGGCATACAAAAAAGCCTCTTGGACCCATATACCAAACGGGGCCATTTGATTCCGACGTTTTGCCATGAAATTGTTGTAACTCCAGTTTACTTTGTCCAACCTCCACCACAACAAGGTTAGCAATAAAGACAGATGTGGTCAACAAAGAGCAGACATATAAAAAAAACCTCAGAAGTTAAAAAGATGAACTGTGTCACAAAATTACCAAGGCACACCTAATAATTTTGATTTTAAATGTAAAAATTTAATGATTGCAAATTTAAAAAATGCATTGATTTCTTTAAAATTACTTTACTGTTGTCTTTAAAAAATTACATTTGGTGATGAGTGCATATTTACTTGTTTAGGACTTGAAACACCATGTTAAGGAGGTGTTGACTTGGGTCCTTAATTGTAGCAGTAACATTGTCCCACCTCTGAGTACCTTTATTTTATGCAAGAGTCCACACAAAACTTACCAGAGTTAACACAGGCAGGTAGAGGGATATGTCTGTAATAAACAGTAAAATAATAATATCAAGTTTAAAGAAATGTGTAAATTTAAAGTAAATGTGACTTCTGTAAATACAAAGAAACATTGGACTCCTGTCACCTGAAATCATTCAGTTTCATTCATCAAGATTAGAACTGGGGAAAATAATTTATTCATTAATCTGCTGCTAAAACCTTATATGTTCCAGTAGCATTTGACCTTGTTTTAGTAAAACTGGATGGATACCTGATATCTGAGATAAAGACATACTGGATGATAGTTTTAAGGTGTAGTGACTGCAAATGAGCATCAGTTGGTTATTAAAATAATACACTTTAACTCACCTGTTGTTGACCCAGCTGTTGTCCTCTGTAACAGGAATCATCTGAATATTTAGCTGATCTTTAGAAAAAAAATTATATTGATACAGATTAAAGTGAGAAAATTACATTCATCAACTTCTTCTGCTATAATACACAACTTCTTTAAAGATATTGGTAAAGTGAAGTGCAGTTCACAAATTTTTGTAGTTGGAAACATGATAAAGTGTCTTATGTAACTCAGACTGCTGGTGCCTCATATTAACTTCCCATTATATTTTTGCACAGAATGAGGAATGGAAGCACATTAGGACTGAGTCTCTAAGTGGCCAATATTAACTGGAGGAATGGCTACAAGCAAAAACTGAACCTGACTATAGTTATAGTTGTGAATCTATCCTTTAATTCAGAGACCCAAATCTCAGCAGTGTGTTGAGACGTGAAGGAAACTCACCAGTGTCAGATCTGTCCATTGTTTATGAAGCAGCTCACAGATGGCAGCAAAAGTTAGTCTTCAACTTCTTTTCTTCATAGATCTTCCCACTGAAATTCTGTGATATTATTTAAATGTGGTCACTTAATTCAATGATGGCAAACTCAATTGTACAGATTATAGGGGCCTTGCACAAACTGACTATTTAGGGCTTGGCAAAACAACTTGACAGCACCCCCAAAACGCCGCCACAAAGGCACGTCTCATCAATATGTATGAAAACTGGTGGGCACATCATGACCAGGCATACGACAATAATTTAAAAGACTCTTGGACCTACAGCTCTGTTTATTGTTTTTTTATGGTTATAATAATGTTTCTATTTCCTCAAAACCATTATATTGAAAGAAAAAATACAAATATTATAAATATCCAAACCCAACAGGAAGTTGGCTATTTTTATTTTTTTTTTGGTTAGTTTTGGCGATTCACAATTAAAAGTTGTGCTATTTGTGAATTTTGACGTAATTAGCAATATCATAAATCCCCTATCCAGAGCCTGCAGGTAGGGCTCAAAGAACAGGCAGCAATACTGGTGCAGGGCAGCAGTGGCACTGAAAGAGGAGGGGGAGAGGCAAAATTTGCAGTTTATATAGACTGCCAAATTGGGAGGGTGTGTTGGGTTTATTATCATAGAGACTGAGGCATTCTTTTTTCTCTCATAACACTCACCATTCAATGACCGATATACAATACAAAGCGGTGAGGTTAAATAGTATCAAGACTACATATATGCATACCCATAAACACACAAACAACCTCCATGATGTGGAATGTGAAAACAGTAAGGCTTCAGCAGGAATTGTAGCTGCACACAGACCAATGAGCACCCCTGACAGTCGTCTGTGGGCACATGAGGATAGAAAAGCTCCTACAGCTGCCCCCACTGTCACACCCAGCATTCCTACAAATCCATACTGGTTCTGTCCATACTGGTTGATTACTGCCTCTGCTGCAGAAAGAGAGACCCTCTACTGCCTCCTGCCCCCTATCAGAGCTCCTATAGTGGGACCAGGACCTAGCACAGGGAGAGCCAACTTTATGGCACCTAAAACTGCTGCACCAGAACCTGCAGCACCAGCACAGATTTTAACTGCTCCACCCCTTTGCCAATACACAAATATCGACATTCCTACAGTAACTGTGAACAGCAGAGAAGTTAAAACTCCAACAAAAATGGCTTCTAGTACAACACTGCTTGTGTTTGTGGATGTCGGGACTGTATAAGAAAACAATCTGCTGCCCTACAGTGTTATATACATCAGATATGGTCAACATCAGTGGCACAATAACAATGGTGAGTTTTGCAGTATGTGAGTTTTCAAGTACTTTTACAACTATAATCATAGGTGTCAAAATAACAACAAGAATTAACCTCATTTTATAAAAGAAACTCAATAGAAATGCAATCAATGCAGCACCTGGTGCAAAACAACACAAGATAATTAGATTCAACCAAGACTGTAATTTACAACTGGAAAAAGCAATACTGGCAATGACTGGAAACAGCCATACTACTCCTGAAATAAAAATCCACAGCAAAACACTAACATTTAAAGTAATGGATAGAAAACCCTCTAAAGCAAGGCCCAGAAGACATCCAGTTGCAGTGACACTCATGAGACACACTGGCCCAGCAACACCCAGGGCCTTCCCCATCGCTGCTTCACCTTTTATTTTAATCACCAATGAATACGTTGATAATCCAATAAAGATCCCTAAAGGTAATGATAAAGCTGAGGAAAAAACACCAAATATCACTGCAAATACAGATATCTGAGTGTCATACACTTGCTTATAACTTTCCCACTGTAAAACATATTCTATCATCTTTTCCAAAAAAAACCTATCCATGATGTATTTTTCTAACTGTTCCATGAGCAGCCTGTTCTCAGCCAGAAGCTCCAGGGATTGCAGCACGCCGACTGCTGTCACTCCCAGCAGAAGACCTCCTGCAGCTCCTGACACCAGTCCAATGCAAAAGATGGAAACAGCTGATGCCAGCCCTGAAGACAAATGCATTCTCATTAGTAGTGTAGAGGACTGAAAGGTCACAGTGTGTACCATCCATCCTGTCTAAGGTGTGGACTCAAGTCAACTTAAACTTGACTAAACCACTCTGACTTTAATATCAATGACTTCAACTTTTTGACTTGGATTAACTTTATATCCTCGCCAAGCTCAACAATTAAAACAATTTTAGAAAATACAAAAATATTGACATATACAATGACTGTACCAGTCTATCACTGTACACAAACCGAAAATGAAGGATGTGTTTGGCAATGCAGACAGACCTCTGATTACATCATTAAGATATAACAACCGTGTCTCCTATTGTATTAAACATCAAGTCGCACGTTTTTTAGCTGCACGTAGCTAAAGATAGAAACGCTGTGCAAAGGTAAGACAGTTCCTTCTGTTAATGTGCATTAAGGTTGTTAAATGACAAATGAAAAGCGTGCCACTTAATTCAATGATGGCAAAAATTTACAGATTATAGGGGCCTTGCACATGGGCTTGGCAAAACAACTTGACAGCACCCCCAAAACGCAGCCACAAAGGCACGTCTCATCAATATGTATGAAAACTGGTGGGCACATCATGACCAGGCATACAAAAAAGCCTCTTGGACCCATATACCAAACCCAACAGGAAGTTGGCTATTTTTATTTTTTTTGGTTAGTTTTGGCGATTCACAATTAAAAGTTGTGCTATTTGTGAATTTTGACGTTTTGCCATGAAATTGTCATAACTCCAGTTTACTTTGTCCAACCTCCACCACAACAAGGTTAGCAATAAAGACAGATGTGGTCAACAAAGAGCAGACATATAAAAAAACTCAGAAGTTAAAAAGATGAACTGTGTCACAAAATTACAAAGGCACACCTAATAATTTTGATTTTAAATGTAAAAATTTAATGATTGCAAATTAAAAAACACATTAATTTCTTTAAAATTACTTTGCTGTTATCTTTAAACAATTACATTTGGTGATGAGTGCATATTTACTTGTTTAGGACTTGAAACACCATGTTAAGGAGGTGTTGATTTGGGTCCTTAATTGTAGCAGTAACATTGTCCCACCTCTGAGTATCTTTATTTTATGTAAGAATCCACACAAAACTTACCAGAGTTAACACAGGCAGGTAGAGGGATATGTCTGTAATAAACAGTAAAATAATAATATCAAGTTTAAAGAAATGTGTAAATTTAAAGTAAATGTGACTTCTGTAAATACAAAGAAACATTGGACTGCTATCACCTGATATCATTCAGTTTCATTCATCAAGATTAGAACTGGGGAAAATAATTTATTCATTAATCTGCTGCTAAAACCTTATATGTTCCAGTAGCATTTGACCTTGTTTTAGTAAAACTGGATGGATACCTGATATCTGAGATAAAGACATACTGGATGATAGTTTTAAGGTGTAGTGACTGCAAATGAGCATCAGTTGGTTATTAAAATAATACACTTTAACTCACCTGTTGTTGACCCAGCTGTTGTCCTCTGTAACAGGAATCATCTGAATATTTAGCTGATCTTTAGACAAAAAAGATATTGATACAGATTAAAGTGAGAAAATTACATTCATCAACTTCTTCTGCTATAATCCAGGCTCTTTAACTACACAAGGAGGAATGGCTACAAGCAAAAACTGAACCTGACTATAGTTATAGTTGTGAATCTATCCTTTAATTCAGAGACCCAAATCTCAGCAGTGTGTTAAGACGTGAAGGAAACTCACCAGTGTCAGATCTGTCCATTGTTTATGAAGCAGGTCACAGATGGCAGCAAAAGTTAGTCTTCAACTTCTTTTCTTCATAGATCTTCCCACTGAAATTCTGTGATATTATTTAAATGTGGTCAAAAACAATAAAAAATCCCTCACTGGATACTGTTTTTGACTCCTCAGACACCGTATGAAGGAAGCTCAACGCTGTAGAATAGTTTGAAGAGCCCAACACAAAACTGGAACTTCAGCCTTCTGTGACAGGGACCTAGGGCTTGGCCAGGCATTCTTTGGTGAGGGTGTGTGCTGTACTCTGTTTCTATGTTTACGCTGAAACTGGAGTGTACAGATTATTACAGCAAGATTTGCATTTTCCTCTGATGTATCATGTAATATTATCATGTTTTGTTTTGCATATTTTATCACCTCTATTTTGGTACAATCCAAATAAAGATTATTTAATTAATTAAAACCTTAACTTTAAGTATCAGTGACATTTTCTTTTAATTTCTTGAGACTAATTATTCCATTCTTCTTTAATGTCCTTAAGAATTTGTAATGTACTGTCCACACATTGTCTGTCTCACATTTATGGACCTAGTTGGCATCTGGTTGGGTTATGAGTGACTGTGACTGCCTTGTTGTTGAATGATCAATGAAAGCTCAGTATCATTTAACTTAAAATGAGCATCCTACTCGCTGGCTCGACAGCTGTTAAAAAGATGATCACAGCACAGCGGAAGCCCCCTCACTCCCTCCAGACACCAGGTCCTCACATTTCTGGATGTTGTTTATCTGGAGTTGTCAACTGCTCAAATTAATGAGGCTAGTGTGACTAGTTCAAACAGCGAGCGTGCTGCAGATTCATTAAAAGATCTTTTAAAATGATTTTTTCCCCTCAACCAATGATTTGATAGAACCTTGTGTGTGTGTGTGTGTGTGTGTGTGTGTGTGTGTGTGTGTGTGTGTGTGTGTGTGTGTGTTTATTTGTTTGTGTGTTAGTGTAAGAGAGGCATATTTTAGTGGGTGCTTTTGTTTTTGTTTTTAGTTTGGGTAATTTTTGTTGTTTATTATTATTAAATATATATAATTATATATAATAATAATAATAATTATTATTATTATTATTGTTGTTGTTGTTCTCCATTTTGTATATTTTGTACATTGTTATATTATTTTATTTTTTTCTCATCTCATCATGCACTTTTTGGTATTCATCATGAAGGACTGGGGCGTCTGCTACCATACTGCAGTGGCAGATGTAAGTGCCACCTGGTGGTTGTGTGGCTTATTTACCAGCCATTGTACTTCAATATGGATACACACATCCAGCTGGTTATTTAACAACCTAACAATATGGCCTTCTGATGATAACCTGCTGATTATTTTCTAGATCAATTCAATGATTGTTTGGTGTGTTAAAATTCACAAAATAGTGAGAAATGTTTTCATAATTACCAAGAGACTAAAGCTCTTCGCAATGCTTTGTTTTGTCCAACCAATAGTACAACATTCTAAATTATTAAATGAAATGAATAATTAAAAGGCAAAGCAGCTACATATTTGAGAAGCTAGAATCATGAAATGTTTCTGCATGAAAAATGTCTTTGATGAAAATAGTTGCCAGTTTATTTTCTGTCAATCAACTAATTGATTAATCAACTAATGTGTAATTGTGCTGGGTAGTTTGATTTAGAAGCTGTTTTTCTTTTAAAACTATTGCTGATGTCAGTTCAGACCATCATCCTACACATCAGTAAATGTGATATCGGAGAAAGAATGACTGTTATTCTTCTCCACAGGAGCACTTTGGCCAATATTTATTATATAACATTGTATCAATATGGTAATACGGTAGGCTGTGTTTACACATTTTATTATATTATAATGAGAAATTTAAAAGAGATATTGGTGGTCTCAGTGGGTTGGAGAGGGTATAAATGAATTCATTACCTGTCGCCATTACAGACTAAACTGTCTGTTTATGCATCTATGTCTAATTTATCTGTCAATGATGTGAGCACCACAAATAAAATTCCATTTCAATGGTGCTCCTCAAAGATAGATATCTGAAAACTCACATACAGCAGAAACTAGTTACCACTAGTGATTGAACTGACCCTTTAAGTACACAAGGTGGAGCCAGAGACAATAACCTGATGCCTCACGAGTGGCGTCAACTCATTTCATCTATCTACAATGACATGGTGAACATGACATACAACATACAGCTGTGTTTTACTTTTGCATTTTAATTATTTTTTGTGAGTTTGCTTTGCTGTCTACATACTTTGCACATCCAATACATAATGTGTCATTTACACAACATAGTTTACATACTTTTCCAAAATGTATATCTAAATGATCTTTCTGTTTGTATTTTCATTATCATGGGAGTTGCTGGTGAAAGTCTATCCAATGTGACTCAGAAATTGTTCACAGATGAGAGCATGTATTTGAAGTTACTTCCTCACTCTCTGACATATCTGACGTGTTTACCTGAAAATTATAGCAACTAGAGGCAAGCAAGGAAACACACTGTACCTGAATTTAAATGAGTTTTTATTCATTTCTCTGGGTTTAATCATTGCTGGGATAATGTAAGTAGGTCTAGCGTTTACAGACATTTTAATGGGGGAATGTTAAATATTACATCTTAAAGCTTCACAAATGATTTATGGCTACATTTTAATTGTTTACTTCAGCTATTAATTCTTTCAGTATTTTACACTGATTAATTTATAAAGCATGATCCCTCGTGTTCACTCAAACAGACATCCATTAATCAGGTTTCTAATTTAAGGACAACAATCTTGACTCAAGATTCACTTACTCACTCTCTTATGCTTTCGAACAGAACAACACTTACAACTGCAAGTCAAAATGAACCCTAAATGCTCAGAATCATGGGAAGTCGGACCATCTTAAGATTCATGCCAATTTAGTTAAATCTATCTGCTCATGAATGCCAAGCAAGACAGTCAAAAGCTCCAGAACAAGGATGGAAGTGGACTGAGTTGAGATTGTTTTGCCAATTCTTGTTTTAACAATGTACACCAGACTCTATTTATACTTGGCTCATTTGAATTTGTTTCTGTTCCATACCCCCAGGCTTTGTGCCCACCAGATGTCCTCCCTGATGTCCTCGTGTCAAAGTCTCAGACCAGTGTTTGTTGTCCAAAACATTGCTCACTGAGGTGCTGACAAACATGCAAGTGTAGTGTTGTGAGACTCATCAGCATTCACACGTTGCAACTTTAATATTAATAATAATAGAAAGGAGGGACACATCAGGAATGAGACATGCATTATGATTAAAACATGTTTGACAGTTAGTTATTTTGTTGTTTGTTTCAACAACCTGAGAGCATCTAAAGCATGCTTGACTGTCAGATCATGGCATTTCTCCATGAACACATTTATGGTCAGTCAGTGAGTAAACATAGTCTATTTCAGGAACTGCAACCCATCCTTTAATACAATCCCCAGTTCCCATGTGTCATGTGTTTGTTATACAGTACCTGCAGTTATCAGTTATTTTGGAAACAGTTGGAGCCTCAATTTAGGGAAGGCTCTTCACTTTCACTGAAATGCTTTTTTTTCCTTTTTGGTTGCTGACCTTAATCCCTCCAATGAAAAGTCCCTTTTAATGTAAGGTCGAGATTCTTTATTAAAACCTAAAACATGACAACAGTGAAGGAGGTGGAAGCAACAAGCGGTTCTCTCCCCCCACTGTGTTTACAGTCAACAGGAGACATCAGCACATGTGATTTTACTGTGTGTATGATACCAGGTTCCTCCATTTACTGTACATCCATGCACATGCAGAAACACGCCTGTACACGTACTCTACATGCACACAATGAACCAAACAATGATGCTGCTCCTTAATCTTCTTCAGACGCTTTTATTATGTTCTTTATTCACTGTATGAATGTGTGAATGTTGACATGTGTTGTAAAGCACTGGGAGTGGTTGGTAGACTTTCAAAATAAGTTCTAAAAACTTATTGTATAATACTGTCAGGTGTAGCATATTTTTACCATCAACAGCAGCCCCTATGGTGGTGTGAATTCTGTGTAGCACAGATGACATTGACTCTTGGAAAGGAATGCTGCCCTGCACACATTTGTGGATACACCTCCTGGAAATAGTTAAGAGCTGCTGACTTCCTTGTTTGCTCTATATAGCGTCTGTATTACCTGTTGTCATCACAGACTCACCTGTAGCCTCGCCGGGTGGAAAGAAGTGTGACAGTGTGACGATGAAACGAGAGACAGCTTTAGGACAAAAGGTGAAGGTGAAGTAAGATGGGGTTTTGACAACAAGAGTGACAAGAAAAGAAAAACTACTGACTACTAACAAAAGAAGCTACCAACTTCATCATCACTCATCATGTCATTGTCCAAGCAGGAGGAACAGCTAGCCTACGAGCTGAGCTGTCCCATCTGCCTTCAGCTCTACTCTGATCCGGTGGTCCTCCCCTGCGGCCACAACTACTGTCAAGCTTGTATCTGGAAGTCCGACGGTGCCTACAAGAATGGCCAAACGCTTCCACGTTGCCCAGAGTGCCGCAAGGAGTATCAGGGTGTGGAAACCCTGCAGAAAAACTTCAAACTCAACTGCATCATCGAGGGTTTCCGAGCCACCGCACCACAGCTTGACAGGCAGCCTGAGACCAAGCAGCCTGAGACCAAGCTGCTCGAGACCAAGCAGCCTGAGACCAAGCAGCCCGAGAAGGTGGAGGTTTTCTGCGACCACTGCATAGATGAGCAGTTGCTGGCTGTGAAGACTTGCCTCAAGTGTGAGGTGTCGCTGTGTTCCAGGCACTTTCAGAGACACCAAGAGAAGGAGTCGTTCAGGGCACACGCCGTAATCGAGCCCCTGAATGAGCTGGGGATGAAGGGCTGTGCCACCCACCACCGTCCCCTTGAGTACTTTTGCTCCAACGACATGACCTTGCTGTGCGCCACGTGCTTCATAGAAGGCCATCACCAGAACCACGATGTCCTCACCTTCAATGCAGCCGAAGAGGAGATGAGGCGAGCGCTGGAGAGCCGCAGCAAGGTCGTTTTATTGTTTGAGTTACATTTACCAGGCTTGTATTCCTCCTACAGTGACACTGCATTACAGCATTACATCACAGCAGACAGCTATAATATGGGGATTTGGTGCTGAAGTAAAACACATGGTAACGTTTTATCTTAGGTGTTTTTTATTTTTAATTTGACGTGTTTTTATGTTTTTATAATTTCCAAGAATTTTCCTGGAAAGAACTATGCAATTTGTAGTAATACAACATTGTAATTACATTACAATGATAAATGAGCTATTCACAGCAGGTCAGCTGAACATTCAAAATTGTTAAACAGGCAAGCATACAAATCTTTTCTTTTTCATTTCAATAAAATTCCCACAGTACTAAATTACATTGTTCTTTACAGGAAACTTACTCAGATATCACAGACATTTAAAAGAAATCGTTACCAAACAAGCATCTTAGCAATAATGATGAGGGATTACTTTATGACCATGGGAAACAAAGAAAACAGGATATTCAAGGTTTGAACACATGGCTGGTGGTTATCTGGCACACTGCCATCATGCATGCAACTCACAAATGATAAGAATGCAGAACCTGTCCAGCTGACAAGAAAGGCCTAATAACTTCTGACTGGGTCAAAGGGAGTTCTCAGTTTCATGTGACAGATTCAGATATTTAAATTACATCTGCTGTGTGCCTTTTTAACAGCTTGTTACCAGAAAAGGACAGCCAGTCATACCAGATTTAAAGTACTAAACAAATCTCAAATGCATTTACTCTGTGGTGTTTGCAGGTGGTTTCCTGCAGGCTGCAGATAACTGAGAGTCTCCTACAGAAGACAGCAGAGGAGCAAGGAGCCTCTGAAGCTATCGGAGACAAACTGGTCAGCAAGGCCGTCGCTCTAATGGATGGTATGGCTGCACTAGTGGACAGGTAATATACTGCATATGTGCTGGTATTGATACTGCCTTTACAAGTAAATGTGGTGTCCTGAAGCATACACAGTATACTGGTGTATTAAGAGATGCAACTTCCTTAAAACTTAAATATTATTTTAGCCTAGTGTATTTGAATATTACTGCATTCTGGGGTCCCTAAACATTGGTAATTGCATAAATTGTGAATAACTGTAAAACTGAGAGACATACCTCATGCCACCCCTGCATAAGTCAGTGCCCCACTTGTGCCACCCCAGTCAAAAAGGTCTTGCGTCCCCTCACGTCCCTGCCTTATACGACTGCTGTTACTGCCCCCCTATACATGTATGTACTTCTTCATCATCTAGATGAGGCAAAATAGGACACTGACACTGAGTAGTGTTAGGTTGGTACTCAATGGTTCTAGGCCACTGTTGGTCAGATCTGATTAAACCACACCTACACAGTCCCGATGAAGCAGATAAGAAAGAGTTTCTGACCTTTAAATTCGAGATAGAGAACATCTAAGGATGTTTTTTTTAAATTTAATTTTTTTTTTTTTTTTTTAAAAAAAAAAATTTTTTTTTTTTTATTTTTTAAATATTTTTTTTTTTTTTACAGTACCTTTATAATTGGACATTAACACTAAGAAAAAACAAAATCTCAGAAATTAATAAGAAGGTACTATGCAAGTTTTAAAAGACAATGGGTAAACTCTTGTTTACATTTACATGGTGGTTAAACTGAGTTAAAGTATGTGCCTCTGATTACCAGCAGCAGTTTCTGTTTCAGGCTTGAAAAGCAGGATCAGGCACTAACAGACACTTGCATGCCAAGACGTAGTGTACCGATCATTTTATGCGATGTATATCAGCATTGACTGCCAGTAAACTTTTTGTATGCCATGGACATGGTTCCAGAACAGTCCACGCAAATGCTTATGGAGGATAGTTTATCTTATTAATCAGTAATTTTGTTTTTGTACATGCCAGAGAAAAAAAAAGACCTAAATGCTAACACCAGCATGCTAACGTGGCACTGCCAACATTGTGATGTTATGTAGGTAAAATTTACCATGTTAATAATCTCAGTTTAGTGTATTGGCATGCTAACATTTGCTAATTAGCACTAAATACAAAACAGTACCAAACCACCACCAAAAGTTCTATTCAAATGTTTTTTTCATGTTTGTTTTTTTTTTCAAATTTCTGAGGGTATTCTCTGCAGTGTCCCCCCTCTGTCCTACTGTTATTATGGACATGATTGAGCTAGCCACACCTGCTCAATTTGATCATGTACTGGCCTCTTCAGTTAAGCCATAATGTCAATTCCACAAACAGTCTAGGGCTTATGGGAAATAGTGTTTGCAAAAAAACATAAATATTGAGTAGATAATTTCCACTGAAGCTATTAAAAATTTCACCCAGTTATCCAATCAATGTAGTGTAAACAAATGTGAAACAAATAACTTTATATTGACAGAAAACACCTCTAACTTTGAACCTATATCAGCCCACACGTGAGTCTATCTCCAGTTAGTAGTAAAAAAAAAAAATGCTAGTAATAATAGGAGTATAATTATATTTATAGGTGGATATGATGATGTTTGCTGACCTCCTAGTTCATCCTCCCTCTAATCATTTTTGTGTTGCGTTCAGGTACAGAGAGCGCCTGCATGTGCTATTGGAGGAGGAGAGAGGCCAGCGCAGACAAAGCTGGCAGCTTGGGCTGGGTGCACTCGAAGAGCAACAGCAACAGTTACTGGAGGCCCAGCAGAGTGCTACCCAGACCCTCAGTGAGACAGACACATGCATGTTCATACACAGGTACAACAGAAATATAAACTGCTGAATAAATACACACAATAGCCCCAAACCTCTTGCTGGAATCAAGTGAAAGAAATAACACTGCTGATGAACTGACAGTGTGCATAATTATCTGTTTAGCATGGGGATGTATGAGAACAAAAATAAAGAAATTAGTCAGCACTTGGGTTTAACATGTACAGTATGCGCAGGTAAGGCCACACATATTCAGAAATGTGAAGATGCCTTTGCATTCATGCAGTAAAGACAGCATGGTAAAACAATGGATATCAACTGAGAACATTCTTCTGCCCTCCAGGTTCGTGCTGATTGATCGTAAGCTGAGAGAAGTCGTCTCGGGGGCCATTCCTTCTCAGATCCCCTCAAAGGCTCCACTCAACACCAAGCGTCTCCAGGCAGGCCTCAATACCAAAGACTTCCGCTCAGAAATGACCCGCCTCCTGGATTCCCTCAACGGCCTCCTCAACCCCTTGAACCTCACCTTCAACCTCTTCACGGCCCACCCCAGCCTGATAGTCTCCAATGATCTCCGCACAGTCAAGTACAGCCCCACCAAGCAGGCGTACGTGGAGCACCCAGAGCGTTTTACAAGCGCACCCCAGGTTCTGTGCAACCAGGGGTTCTCAGGTGGCGAGCATGTATGGGTGGTAGAAGTGGGGGCCAACACCATGTGGTCTCTGGGTGTGTGTTACAAGAGCATCCCTCGCCGCGGCGACCACAGTCGTCTAGGACACAACTCTGTGTCTTGGCGCTTGCAGTGGAAAAACAGCAAGCTGACAGTGTGCCAGTCTTCCAGTAATGTGGCACTGGGGGAAGTTACCTATCAGCCGCTGAGGATTGAGATAGCGCTGGACTATGAGGGGGGGACATTAGCATTCCACAGCACCAGAAGCCGTAGGGAGCACCTCCACACTTTCAGGGCTGTGTTCAGGGAGCCGGTTTACCCAGCGTTCAGTATCCATTCAAACACACCAGAGTCCTGGATCACACTGCAAAGTGGGATGTGAACACAACTCCTCTTGTTTAATATTTCACATGCATAGAACTTAATTAGGTGCTCCAACCTTTCCTTTCTTCTTTCTTTCAAAAGTATGTACGGAAATACAGTAAAAAGTGCAGAGGACAATTCTGCCAAAGTGGTGCATTCATGCGTAATCGCACTGTAGTGGAGAAATCTTACTCAGAAATTTGCTTGGAAAAGTGATGTTGATTTATAATGCCATGCTATTATAAAAAAGTATTTATTATTAGCTATCTAGTATGGTTGCATTACGGAACTGGAGCATTTTAATCACAAGATAATTTGTTTACAAAACGTAATTTTTTTTATTCATGATTGGTGTGATTTTTGTGATGTATATAGATCAATGCAGGTGTTCAGGGGATTCGGTTTTGTTTTGTTTCCATTTCTCTGTTTATTGCAGGGGTGGCCAAACTTTTTCCCTTGGAGGCCAAAACTGAAACTTAATAGGTAGTTAGGGGCCAAAAGCAAACACTAATTGTGCTGTTGAGGGGAAAAATGGTAATAGGATTCCAAGTTTCCTTAATTGCCCACTGCCCACTATGCTCAGATTATGAAAAATGATTAATAATAAGGGACCTTCTATATTTAAATGGCAGCCATGGTTTATTGAAAGTTAACTGGATATCTGTTGAATGTTTTGTGTTTGTCCTTTATTTTCTTTATATACAGTAAACATGTGTGTGTGTGTGTGTGTGTGTTTGTGAACACTGACATTTGGCTGAATATGAGACATGCTTGTGTTATACCACAAATAAACTCGGATGAAAAATGTTTGTGTGTCTGTTGACAAAATGTCTGTGTATCCATAGTAGTATGTTTGTCGGGCAGTATGGACAGATAGTATGTGACTGACTTTTGACAGCGATTAAAGCGTGCTTTAGTGTATGACATGCGGGTTGCCAGGTTAGGCTGCAAATAGGTAACTAACAGCGATTATTAAGCCGTTTTTATTTTCCCTAAATGCACGTGTAAAACATATTATTTAGATGATGACACACACACACACACACATTTTTGTATGAATAATAATGAATCATTTTAGCAACCTACTCCATCTCATCAGTACATGAATAAGAAACCATGCTCCGGGTTTTACACAGATCTGGGAGAGGGGGATAGCGTAAGAAGCATCTGGCAACCCAGATCCCATCTGTCACTTATTCTGTCATTGGGCAGGACACTAACATTATTATTTTTATGTTAGTAGCAATATTCTACGCAAGGCAATAAACAAAGCTGTCAGTTAACACCAGGAAACATGGGTTCGGGAGAGAGTACGACCAGGAAAGTGTCTTTCGGGGTCGACGATGAGGACAGAGTCAGGATTCTTCGTGGAGTCAAGGTAATGCTAATTTAGCTAGCGTTTGATAAGCCGTGCTAACATTACTTTAATGTGACGCCCAGAGCTAACTAGCCGTTAGCATGTGACTGAGCAGCAGCCTGGGTCACCAGTCTGTTGTGAGTTGAACCAACGTTATGTGTAAGTTACAACCTGTAAAGCGACTGCTGAAGTGAGGAGGATGTAAAGGGATGCAGGGGCAGGGGCAGGTTGATTTTAACCTGCGCCAAACCTCAGTCGTATTTAGCAGCAGGTAGAAGTGTGCCTTGCTTATCGGCAAATGAACATCTCTGGCAGATGACCAACGTCTTTTAGAAACCTTCAGAGTCTTCTGGTAAATTCGGCGCTAACATTATCCACCTAGCAGGACTACATTAAGTAAAAATCCCACATTTCCACAATTTACTGCTGTCTAGCGTTTTGCTAACAGCAGTGAAGGTAAAGCTAGCAGTGAAGAGCGAACCGATTGTAATGTTGTTGGAACATGTCAGCTGTATGGTGGATGTATTGCTAAACCAAGGAGAGATTACCATTGATATCTTAAAGGCTTCAAATGTTCTAACGTTAGCCACCGTCTGAGGTTTGGCGTGCAGCTTTCTGCCTTTTGACACTGCTGCCTTCCAGTGCTGTTGTAAATGTCAGAATTTTGCGTTGTGCAAGTCATGAACGACCAATGAACTGGTCATACAAAAAAGGAGAGAAAAAAGTACTAAACTACTCTGTGTTTTTTTACACATATTAAATGTAGTTAATAGTGATGCTTGCTGACCTAATTGTTTGTATGCACTGGGGCTGTACAATAATCAAATTAAAACAGAAACTTCTATTAATACCTCTATTTGCTTTAGCAGAGGAATTTGTTTCACAAAAGCAAGTGTTCCTAATCCTACTAAAATTAACAAAGGACAAGACTTGAACCTGTGCACAGGCAGGGGGAGCAGAAACTATAAGACTGTGTGTAACAACCTTTTTGACCTTTGCATCATCACTTCCATCAGATGGCCTCCATATGGATTAGTTCATGTAATATAATTTCATAGGTTTCCCGTACAGACTGTCAAGATTTTACATTTTTGTACCCAAAATCTTGTACCAATCTCAGGTACGTTTCATTATGGGGGTTTGTTTTAACTGATAAACAATAACTTTACACTAGCGTCTTACCTATTGTTTTGCTGACCTCTAGTGGTTAATGTTCTCACCTTACTGTGGAGATGTAAAACTCGGTGCACCCTGACCTTCGAAGCCTGTTGAGTGTGGTTACAGGTACTACACCCAACAGTGATGCTGGGTGTGGCCACAGGTGCAACACACAATAGTCTTTTCAACTAGATTAAGTCAGTAGCGCTTTTCAGCGTGGCATCATGTTCTCTTTATTATCTTTAATTACAGGCTGTGCTCAAAATGAAATGTCAAATTCAGATGCATGCACACACACAGGGAATGTATGAATGTCTGTAATGTGCCTGCAGCCATTACAAATTCCTACTTTCTGAGATGTAGGAGAACTTGCTGGATGTCATTTCCAGACTTCCTGTAGGATTTGAACGCACCTTCAGACTAGTGAAGTATAATAACAGCGACTAGAATATGAAATAAAGGTATTCAATTCAAGCAAGTTTCTAGATCTGCTACTTTCATGCATCATAATGTTTGTGTAACTGTTTGTAAAAATGTCTGTAAAAACCGAAGAACCTACGGAAAATACTTTTTACCAGCCCTGCCTGCACATTCAGATGTTGTGAGTCATAGAAAACGTGAGTCAGTGCCTACTGTGGTTTTTGGTAGCTATGTACCATTTCCCTGGCTACACACACAAACACACACATAATGGAGCTGTAGTGACCCATCATTTTCTGGCACACATTGCCAGTTCATGTGCTTTGCTTTAGGCCAACTTTACTGTGTGTTTCCCACAGCATTAAAAAAGGATAAAAGGATATTTGAATAAAGATGACACCACATGATGTGCATGATGTGCTTTGTATTCAAGTAAACTCTTATTTAGTTTGTAGAAACTTGCAGAAAGGCTTCTCATTGTGAAGGCAAATCCTACGTTCCCAGTTCCCTGTTGATTCTGTGTCTCTAGCCTACCCATCTTTGTCTTTTTGTGTGTCTGTCCAGCTATCAGAAGATGTTCTCCAGAGGATGAGAGGTGTAGCCAACATTGCTCCAGAACGCACATCATCATCAACCTCAAGCCCTCAGAAAGACACAGGTATCCTCATGCACCTTACAGTGTTTCCCGCTCAACAGGTTTTGCTGAGAACACCAAAAGTTGCTGGCTGACGAGGTTAATGTGCGGTTTACGTATTGTTAGGAGCACCTGCAGGTACTACACATGCACACACACTGCTTTATTTACACCTGTAGACTTATAATTCCACGTTTGGACATGAAAGGGAGATTCTAAGCATAAAGGTCAGTTTACTAGTCATGAGGTGTCAGTGGAGAGTCTTTGGTGGCTTTGTCAAGTTGGAGAAAATAACGCTGATGATTTCAAATTTCTAACAGAAAGCCCACAGACTGCTGGCGTTAGGGTGTAAAGATGAGAGCAATTAATAATGAAGGTAGGGAGCGACTAACAAAGACATGGAGTTGCATTATGGGAAATATATAATGCATAATATTTGTAGCTTTATTAATATCAATATTAATTTTGACCATTTTATTTTTTAATCCCTCACTTTTAAAGCTCCAGTCTTTATGGAAGTGCAATACTAAATTGCGGGAATACCCACAAATCCTCAGATATAGAACAAGGATCTTAATTAATTACTGCATTTGTTTGAATCTATAATGACCCTGAGTAATAGTTACACATACATACATACATATATACATACTCTCTTTGTCCAGGTGCCTCTAACAGCGCAAGCTCAAGCTCTCGACCCCAGCAGAGCCCACAGCACCGGGCCCAACCCAGCAACGGGTCCAACACTAGCAAACCGGCCTCCGACGCTAAGGAAGAACAGAAAAGGTGGGTTAAAGTAAAAATGTAGGTTTGTAGTACAGATTCTTACAGGTTGGCAAACACTCAAACGATGCCTGCTAAACATTCATACACCTTTTTGATGATCAAAGCAACTTTAAATATTGATGTGCAAAAATAGCCACATCAGGCTGTATGTGCTGCTTAGAATTCACTTTCTTTATAGTAGCTAACAGGGCCTCTTCTCTGCTCTAAAATCTTTAAAGATCCCCTCCATTCATGTAGTAAGACGTACATAAATATCTCTGTTTAGAACAACAATATGTGTCTGGTAGGTTTATTTTTATAAAAAAGTATAAATTGACATTAAAATGCTTAAAATTGCATCTACTCTAAAGTTGTACAGGATGTTAAATTTCACTGGATGAAACTTGTAGTTATCTTGATAACCTCTGTATCCCTGCTGATGATCAAACTGAACCCTAACAGATTCAGGCCATCTTTATTATTGCTGTTTTCTCCATCACTCTCACTATCCATCTCATTATAGGAGAACTAATATTGTCATTTAAGAGCACAACTTAGGTACTCCATGTATTTGATGGGTCTGGTGAAATATGGTATATGCTGCCCCCTTGTGGAAAGCATTTTGACTGTATTCAGAGGAGAGCAGAAACTGATGATGGCATGCAAATAATGGAAGCAATATTATGTGTGCGTTTGTGTGTGTTTCAGGTATGAACGCCAGCAGACAATATTGAAGGAGGAATTGGCCAAAGTGGCACAGAGGGAGGAGATGACTAAAGCCATCAGCCGGGAAAGACAACACAAGCGGCAGGAAGCCGAGAAGGCCAAACAACTGGTAAACACACACTCTCTCACACACACACACACACACACACACACACACACGCACACGCCGGGAACGTCTTCATGTGTGTTGTGTGTGTTTGTGTGTGTGTGTGTCCCCTAGCTACAACAGGTAAACTAAAACTGTAAAACAAAGGGAAGACATTTATCCAAAATGTTGTCCCTCCTGCTGCAGCGTTGCCTTTACAGCCCCTGACAGCACTACAATGACTGTGTGCTGTATATGCCGCTGCCTGAAGAAGTTTTTACAGGTTACAGTGAACATGACTGAGTTATTTTTGTCCTTGACTTTCATTTACAGTTTACCTATGCAGAAACCTTCTGTGACGTGTCTGTCACTCAGATGTGTCCATTGATCAAAACAGTGGATCACATGAAAAATCCTCTTCCCACTGTAACATCCACTGCTGACCTGTTGGCGGAGCTGTTGCATTCTGTGTGTAATGATGCTGAACCTTTTCATATTGGTCAGCAGTCATTCTAACACGTTGGACTTTTTACATGCAGTGAGTTCAGTGATAAAGCTGTAAAAGCGGATTAATTTGAGTGTCTCTCAGTGGTTGGAGATACGTTTGTACAGGGTCAAGTCATGATTCAGTCCGGTGAGGTTTTCTCTGCTTTAATCACGTGTTGGAGCATTTCGCGCCGACACAAATTGGGTCTTGGGATTGCATTTGTAATTTCCATGGTGATACTCCCTCTGCCTCCTCCTCCTTTCACCTATTACATCCCCGCTCTCTTTCTATCTCCCTCTCTCTTTACCATTTTCTCTCTCCCTCGTTTCCCTGTTCCTTTTTCTGTCTTCTCACCCACCCCCACCCTCTATCTCCCTCTGTCTTTCTCTCTTTTCTATCCCAGCCCATCACTCTCTCCTTCCTGCCCTGGAGACAGTATTATCAGTGCAGTGCAAGCGGTAAATTGCACCCTGAGAGTTTCCTGGAGCTAGAGATAGGAGTGGTGGAGGGGAGAGCTTGTTTTACACACCAGCCGCTCGCCTGTTTCACGTGACTCGTACTCTTCCTCCTGCCCCCCGCACCCTCGTGTTGAGGCATGCTGTAGTGCCTGTCTTATCTCCACTCCAACACGCTCCCACGCCACTAATAGAAAGCCGCTGGAGGGACGTCGTGAGCAGAATGACCGGTCGAGCGGGACCAGACCTCCTGATGCTGAGGGCTCCTTGTAATTACTGTTTCTTGTGCTATGAATACATATACACACGTACACATGGAGTGTGGGCAGATTTGCTCACATTCTTAAGTCAAATGAGATTTGTTTCCCTGTTGTGGCATCGAAGGGCACTCATCATCTGCAGGTCTTTGTCCTGTGCAGCCCTTGCAAAGTCAGTTTGTAGTCAATCAAGTAAAACGGCTGCTTTTCTGAACTGTTAACAATGAGATGTTTTACAGCTCAGCTAAAAAATTACCTCCGCTGGGCTCAAATAAGAGCAGGGGCTTTTAGGAAGCCCTTTTTATGTCCTTTGTGCCTCAACAGACAGTGTATTTTCCCTAATGCCCAGACTACAGGAGTTTTATAATCCTAACCGATTTTGAAATTGGGTTGCAGCAAGCACTTAAGGAGAAACTTCGCAGATTTTGTTCTCTCTAATCTTTAACATGCACACACTACAAGATTTGACAATATTGGTGCATCACACACGACCGGGTATTCTTACGATCATCGTGCCAGAGGGAGCAATGCAACACCTTGCGTGTGCTCATGGAGATGCAGATGCCACAGAATGCAGACTGACGTATTGGAACAACTTGCTGCAGTAATGTTAAAGCTTTGCAGTAAGGAGAAACCAGAGTGCGCTAGCTAACATTAGCATCAAGGGCTAAAACGTTTATAATGACAATACTGCTGTAAACAAAAAGAGGTAATGTTCTTCTTCATCTTAAAGGGATATTTCTGCCAGTTAGTGTTGCACCTCAACATATGGTAAAAATCAAACCAGCAGAAGCCGAGTTATATTTACTCTTAATATGAGTCAAGCTCCAGAAAGTATCCTACATTTCCCATAATTCATTATTCTCATGTTCAGCCCGGTTATTTCCCTGATGTTTTCAGCCCACTACCTTAGCAACATTAACTTCAATTTAGAGTTCCATCTCTGACCACCGGGTAAATGTAAATCCAATATTCATTCTCCTTTTAGCTCTGTTTTGGTCTCCAACTTTTGACAAATGTAACTTGGTCTGCTAACTTCTCCTCTATATTCATTAGCTATGGGGCTTTTAGTCGCACAGAGTCAAACCATGCTGCACTGATTTTCATTTCCATTACCGGTTACACTGAACTGTGCCTGAGATGGACCATCTCCGTAGTAGAGCCAAAGCGTGGCCGACCTGCGTCTAAGCAACTGACGTTTTGCCGACTGCGGCCAACACGTGACAACCCTCCTTTTCCCCCTCAAACAAATGTGTGTTCTGAGACTCAACTCATGTCTGTGCAGGAGACCAGAGAGACAGATGTTCTTAAAAGTGTCTGAGTGATCAGCTCTCAGTAATTTTGTACTGTTTTTTCTAACTGAATCTCTGTGGTTGGAAGTTTGGTTTCTCTCCTGCGTCCCTGTTTGTGCTTTCAGATATCTGCTTGATTTAACTGTTTCATGTTCACTGTCAACTGTATAGGAGTTGTGTTAAGTTACTGCTGACAGCCCAACATTTTTTTTTTTTAAAGTGACAGGGGAAAGTTGTTATGGAAAATGAATTAGGAAATAATATGTGTTCATCACCAAATTAGCTGAGCTTAATTAGCTTTTTTATACAATAGAATGTCTACATACTGTGGGGAGGAAGGTGGCTGTGTTTATTTGTGTTTTAGAAGGTAACTGCCGTGGAAAAATCTGAAAACTATGCTTTATTTATTTTGGGCTGGTGTTCCAAGTCATACCAAGTCAAGCCAAGCTAGCACGTGTGTATGGAAAAGGACAACTAGTTGATTATTTTGCCTGCCATTTGGTGCTGGGCAGGTAGCATACAGCTTTTTCTACAAAAAAACACTGCCTGCTTCAGTTGTAAACAAGGGAGATGAAAGCGGTAAGACCAAAACTTTAAAGTTTTCGGGCCAGAAAATACCAAAAATGAGCTGAAAGATTTTAGCAGGCTCTATTGAGCTGAGGGGAACTGCACAGTTGTGTGACATTTCTCTATTCACTTCAATTAAATTCAGTTTAATTTGTATAGTGTCAAATCATAAAAGAAGTTATCTCAGAGAGTGATCTGTCTTTTCTAAAAGAGTAGGTCTAGACCATACTACTTATATAAAATATTTACAGAGACCTAATAATTACCACCGTGAGCAAGCACTTGGCAAGGAAAAATGGCCTTTTAAGTGGCATAAACCTCAAGCAAGACAGAGGGACAAAGAGATAGAGATGCACAGCAAAAATAATAATAACAATAGCAACTATAATAATAGACACATGAGTAATAACAACAAAGATGATCTTGAATGAAATTCATCACTACAAGAGATTTATTTCACATAACAAATAGTAATGTGAGCTGATGCTTATATATGAATATTTTTTAACAGCTTTAAAAGCATACCATGATCAAGTATATATCATAAATAAGGTTTATTATAACTTACAAATGGCTGTCACATGCTACCTACTGTACAGCTTATTACAGCCATGCTCTTGTACTTTCAAAATGTATTACCAAGAATTTAATACAATAGAGGCCCCAAATTAGAGGGCCAGCATTGGTGGTATCTGGACAGAAGTTATCGGACCGCCATGGTCAGAACCAACTTACATGTGGCAGATGTCCCATGTTAATTTGACATCCTTTGAGGGAAAAGTTTAAAGCGATGTAATATTGCCTGGAGAAAAAGGACTGGGAAGGCTGAACATATGAGAAGTAAGAGGTGACAGCTGATTAAGCATTGACACAGTAATTGGGAGCAAGAAGGATGTGAGGATGAAAAAGAAGTAACTGAACATTTTGCGAATGGGTTAGGGTGAAGAATGACGACAAGCCTAGAATGAATGGGAGCGAAAGAGAAGATGACACGCATTTCCTGTAGAATTGAGCTCAAGTAGAGGGAATGAACCAGAGGGTGAAAAATAAGTCTTCACAAGTGATTTAGCATTTCCTGGAGCATCACGAGGAGGTGGAAGAGTAGAGAGAAGGAGTGACTATTGCGAGTGCTTCTCCGATGCTTTTAGGAGAGGATGAATGAGAGATGAAGGAGGGAAATATGATTTTAAAGAAGTTTATAAGATGACTAAACATTGTGCACAATTAAGATGACTTAGAAAAGGAGGAGAGGAAGGATGGTGGGGTGGTGAAAAAGAGTGGGTGACACAAAAGATCAATTATGGTGGACAAAGAGGAATAGAAAGAAAGAAAAGAAATATTCCACAGCATTCCTATAGATAAGCTAAGCTAAAGGAATATCTTATACAGATGTATGCAAAAACTTTGGGCAGCTCTTGATTTTTAATTGAAAAGATGTAAACACAGCATCTCTAGGATATGGAACATAAAACACAATGTTCAGAGCAAACATTCATGCATAGTTACATTTTTTGTCATAAATTAAACAAAAATAAAAACATCAGTGCTGCATGTGCAAACAATTGGGCACCATACAATGTCAGTACTTATTAATGTCCCCTCCGGCAGATATCACAGCTTGCAAATGCCCTTCATAGCCAGCTAAAAGTTCAGTTCAGTTCCTGTATTTGGGTTACTTCCTTTCAAAAGGCTTCATGTTCTGCAGTATTCTTGCGCTGTCTTGATGCACAGCACTGCAAGATCTACGCACTGTTTTTTTTTTATTATATCAGGGGACATCGAAGACCGTTCCAAAACCTTCAGCTTGCATCTCTTGAGGTAGTCCATAGTGGAGGTATGTTTATGATCATTGTTAGAAGTCGCCCTCTTTTCAGCCTCTGCTTTTTTACAGATGGCATAATGTTTGCTTCCAGAGTTTGCTGGTATTTAGTGGAATCCATTCTTCCCTGTACTTGTGCACTGTTTC